GTGGTGCAACGATCTTCAATTGGAATGTTTTTCACTTTACACGAGCTTACTGGTACTAGTGGGACTCAAAGATGCTCGCACGCAACGCCACTGGCCAAGCAACTCTTTTGTCGCGGTGTAATTTCAAGGACAAAAGCGATCATTTTCATTCAATCTCTCCTTTGCAAAATTTGATGACGCAACGTGGGGATTGCAGTACACCCCAATGATGATATTTGAATGCGGTTCATAGATTGGACCCGAGCATTGCGTGGGCACTTGACTTGGGCTCGCGATAATTGCTAGCTCGAGAAGCATTCGGGTAGTGACCCGAGTCCAATCGCTGCAACGACGACAATAGCCGAACTATAACAATGTCTGGAACTCGGCACGTGTCCTGTGCTTTTCCAACCCCAGCGTGTGGCTATGATCAACATTGGCGGAATATAATCGGCTCCAGATCACGTGGCCGCTTGTTCTGGCTGCGAGTTGAGGGGGTGAACGCTGCTCGTTATTCTTTAATTTTTTTCTGGGACTTCTATTGCGTGGAGTGAAAAACGAACGCGTGTTTCATAGGTCATTAACGTCAGGGATGCGTTCTAAGTGGTATTTGCGCAAAGTGCAGAAATTGTTGCATCGTCCCTTTAGGAGGGAGCATCCCCATGTAATATTAAGAGGTCTGTCGCCCCCCTTAAAGTTAAGTGGGAAAAAATTGAAGAAATGTCCCTCTTACTAAGTGGGACCGGGCTTAGAGTGTACTGAAGAAGATAAAACGGCAACAGTTTTATTTGCGCAGGAGAACTACTCTCTTCTCAAGAAATTGAATCGAGGGGGCTCTTCTATCCAACTATGTTCGCCGTTAATGCCGTGACACAAAAATTACGTTGTTGCTCAAGAACTCTCCAAGCAGGCAGAGTTTCTGAAAATTCCGATCCAGCGTCAGCGTTTGTCACCGAGCTTACAAGGGAACTGCTGTCTACCAACGAGACTTGTGACTTCGACGCATGTGAAGAAAGACACACAAGTTAGCTCGTGCTGAAGAACTTGTTCTGGTGCAGCACGATCATTGTGCTGAAAAACTATTGTGGAAGGGTGAGCGAAAAGGTTATGGGGCTAATTCCAAGTCAAAGAAAAGAAAATGTGAATTCCTAAAATCTAAATAATTATTTTATATTCATTGCAACAGTTGTCATAGCATTATTATTGCGAAGCGGCATTAAAGTCTACATGCCGTCCATGAGCTGTGTCTTAGTGTCGCGAAAGCAACAGAGCGGCATCTAAGTTGTTTGTGTTTGAATTGTGTCCAGATGGATACAAGAAGAAAGTGTGGATACACGAGGATATACAATTTGAAGATTTCAAAGGTGAGAGAACTTATATTCCCAGCATCTATTCGTGGTGTGAATGAACGCGGGTAGATGTGTGCATAAAGATCCCACAGCTGCATGTGTCCCTTACTGATAATTATGCTTTAAGTTTGCTAAGTTTGCCTGCACTCGGTTAAATCGAAACTTGTGCACTTGGATTTAGGCGGCGCCTTTCCCTCTTTTTTGTGTCTTTTCTGCGTTTAATTTCTTGTCTTCTTGTCTCAGTCTCGGATTACTTACTTTATGATAAACATTCTCCAGTTCGCTTGGAGTTGTTTTTATTATCATATGTTTACTTCTGGTAAAAAGTACATTTCAACTCATTTCGGCGGTTCCCATCACTTACAATAACAATTCAGGGCATTTATTTTTTGTTTGTTTGTGTCTTCTCACACCTAGAAATAATTAAAGAACCCAAGATTTGGATGCCTAAAACGAAAACCCATCTCTCTCAAAACGTCGTTAACCTTGTTCTTTCATATCATAACAATAATGGTACGTCCTAATATGCTGCTCGTGGAAGAAACTATGTTTCCCAGTCATATAGATATTTATAAATCCTGTTTGACCAATTAACAAACGTTCGGGTCCATAAAAAATGCCCTCTACGTCGGTAAATCTATGCGCGACGCCTTCAGTGCAGCACTTTTCCGCGGCGCTCGCCAGCCGACTCGTGTGACGTCACCGGAGGAGCGGTGCGCCCTTCAGCTCTAGGTGGTGTTGCTTGAGGGAGCGAAGAGAAGAGAGGAGGAAACGAGTATCTCTACGTCACGCGCCTCGTCCGCCTCGTTCAATCTCGACCTCTTCTTCCAAAATACGGACGTCCATTCGAGATGTGGCCTTACGAGTAGTGTTGTAGGGATTGTAGCGTCCCGCCTACATCTCCTGCATTTTTTTTTTTTAATTTCGGTTTACCATCTTTTTAAAAAGCTAACGAATTAAGTTTCTCCACGGTTGAACGCAAGCATTTATCCAGGCGAAAAAGAAATAAGACCGTAGCAGACGACGCGTAGCCTCAACAGTGCTCGGCGCGCCGACAGCGTTGCGTCAAAATGGCGGTCGTCTCCTATTTGCTCCTTTCTTTCTCTATTTGCTCTCTTCTTTCTCTCTCGCTCCTTCGGCGCTCCCCTCCCTTCGGGTACGGTGGCTCTTCGGGGTTCGACTGGGTCCAACCGAACCGGTTCGACGAACTTTCGACTTTTGACTTTGTGAACAGTGTGATACCTTGATACGAGCATGTCTAAGTTTGGAGTTTTTTTTTTAATACAATGGCTTATTTTATTTTATGAATAATTGCAATTAAAAAAAAAAACAATTCTAACACTGAAGAAGTTAATAGCTTAATTTTTTGTACTATATTAACTGAAATAACCAATCAGCGCTGCCCTTAATTCATCCCTTAGCCATCACCATCCTGTCGCGCATGCGCACAGGAGTCGAACCTCAATACCCCCCAAGGTTCGTCGAACTTTCCATTAAAAGTTAAAAAAAGTCGAACCTGGGCGAACTCGAACCTCGGACGAAAGGGCGAACAGCGCACAGTAGTAAACGGGGACTAAAGGAAGTGCAAACAGGACAAGCGCTGCGTAGAAGAAATGAACTGAATAAGGGTGGCGATGTGGGTTGGTTCATACGGACGAAAAGGCAAACAGCGCACAGTAAACGGGGACTAAAGGAAGTGCCAGTTTACTGTGCGCTGTTTGCCTTTTTGGTCAGCATGAACCAACTAACCCACATCGCCACCCTTATTCGGTTCATTTCTTCTACGCAGCGCTTGTCCTGTTTGCACTTCCTTAGTCCCCGTTTGCTGTGTGCGGTTTGCCTTTTCGTCAGTATGAACCAACTAACCCACATCACCACCCTTATTCGAACCTCGGCCGGTTCGCGACACCCTTAGTTGAAATGCGAAGGACGAAACGGTATAGAGCCAAATGCGACGGGTCAAAGCGAAAAGTTCTTTTTGAGAATGGCTGTTTAGAAAAGGGCCAAGTGAGAGAGGCTAAACGAGAACTGGCTCAAATGGGGAGGGTTGAAATGCGAAGGACGAAACGGGAAAGAGCCAAATGCAACCGGCAAAAGCGAGATTTTTTTGAGAATGGTTATTTCGAAAGGAGCAAAGTGAGAAAAGGGAAAACGATAACGGGCTCAGATAATAGCCGCTCTATTTTTAACTTTTTTTTTTTTTTTTTCTATGTGTAGGGACAGATGTAGGGACTTCTGTGACTAATGTAGGGATATGTCGGGTTCTACAAGGGTAGCTGTGGGAATTTTCTTGGAAAACAGCTGGTATGGCACACTACCCGCTTTAAAGCCGGTCGTGGGCTGGCGGCATCGCGCGAAATTCTTTTGTCCAGCAGTCTCGGGGCGTCGCGACCGGCGTTGTTAATATCGAGGCTGCTTGTGATTTGTGTGGCATTCAAGCTTCAGCTCGGCTTATTACATCATCAGAATTGTCTGGGACATGTCTGGCGCCTACTGCAGTGGTCAAATAGAACTTCCAACCGTCTTTATTATCCCTTTAAACCCTTTAACGCTTCCAGGATAGCAGTCGTGCTCCGGGCCCACTCGCGACCGCAGGAGCCGCAGGGGCCGATGATGATGATGATGATGATGCTGCGGCTATTTCCCTTTGAATCGGGAGGACTCAAACAAGGTTTGTGCCCAAGCCTGGGAGCGTAGGTGTCTTAATGCTCCCTGAGGTGGATCTTCTGCCACCAGTCCTCCAGTCTCCTTTTTGTGTCTGCAACAAGCCTTTTTGTGTCGTTGGAGGCTACCTTCAGCCCCGTAGCTGGGCAGACTTCTGTGGATTGTTCAATTTCTATGTCAGTGAAGCCCAACGCTTCAGCGAGCGCTAAGGGTCTCGGACGCCTTGGGCCATTGTCCTGTGACCGGGACGGCTTGAGTCTCGCGCAGTCTAGCACAATATGCTCCACCGTTTCGTCATTTACCCCACACACCCTACACATTGTTGACGTGACGGTGGTGTCGAAACGACGCCTATAACACAGCGTCCGCAGTGCCCCGGCACGTGCCTCGAACAAGAAGCGGCTACCCAGGCTGTTGTCATACAGCCGGACTTCCGAGGCGATGGTTATTTTGTTGGCGAGGTACACCTCCAGCGTCGATTTCGTTCGGGCTTCTTGGAGCCATTGTTTGGTCTCGCAGTCTCGGACTCTCTGCCTAACTTCCGACGTCCACTCAGTCTCTGTCGACGCATCAACAGGCTCGGAGAAGAAGCCGTACTTGTGTTGAAGCTGATAGAGGCGCTTCTGCCAGCGGGTCCGCAGCCCAGTCAAGTTGGTGTATATAAACAGTCTCTTCGCCCAACGGCATCTATCCATAAGTCGAAGGCGTCCGTCATACGCAATCTTGCTTGAAGCCTCCCGAGCTTCAAAGGAGGACCAGCCCAGGTCACCCTGCACTGCCTCGTTGGCGACCGCTCCATGGCAGCCCAGTGCCTGGCGTCCCACGTCTCTCTGCCTACGCTCCATATTGGCGCGGACATCTCCTGGGACACATACCACTGCATTTGCAAATGTTAGTCCGGGTACCATTACTGCTTTCCACAATTCCCGCGAAACGATGAGCCGCGGGTACATTGGTGGCGGCATCTGGCGACACCTACAGCAGCCGCACTAGCCGCCCTATCCCCTACCCGTTTTTCTGCCGTGGCATCGGCGCCGCTATTGTTAGCCTCTCTGGCGTGGTCCGACGTTTTCGTTCCGTAACTCGTGTTTGATTAGAATGTCCAGTCCGACACCACTTGCTAATGATGTTACAATGCAGAACGGCGGGACAGAATGTCACGTAAGCCAACTTTTCTCAGAAATTCGCACAATCCGTCTTGATCCTTTCCCACCTTGTAGGCGCCATCATGGCGCGGTTGCACTTGTGCCGTTTACCAGTCGGAAGTGCATGATCGTCTTCGTTTCCCCGGCACTACGTCGCTGAAAGGCGGGCGTATGTGGTTCCTCGATGACCAGGGCTTACCCGTAGAACGTCGAGTGAACGAGGCCGCGTCGGTCCGTACCGCTGCTAAGCGCCGCTTTGAGAAGCTATCGGCTGGCCGTAGCGCGTCCCAGCGTCCGATTTTAAGAACGTCGCATTGCTCTGATCCGGTTGGATTGCGCCTTTCATTTATGGGTTTGAGGCACGTCTGCTTGGCTGGCGATTTATCGATTGCTGGGAGTTTTTATTTTGGTCGTTGGCTGTTGCGAGCCCCTTCGTAGCGAGGTTTCGTTGCGAGTACATGACGAATCTTGATCTTTCATCATTGTGAACTACTATCGCCTTTAAAAACAACAACAAAAAAAAAAAAAACGATTTCTTTTTATTTGACGACAGGACGAGCGGTTTTGACGTCGCCATTATTTCGTCGGAGCTCTACTACTATGCTCTACTGAAGGCGATCTCATTAGCAGAACTTAAAATACTTGCTTCCGAGCTGGCATCATAGGTATCGTCAAGAGAGAATCGCCCAACCCCCTAAAAACTCGAACGCAGTGCAATTCTTTTGATCCCGTGTCCGGCAACGGGCGGTGTAGCTGCATTCCAAGGGGTTTTGAAATTTCGCGACTGGCTGTTACCGAAATAAAACTGACAAAGGCTGGTCTGACGTAAGTTAGTTGGCTCAGTTATTGAAGTAAAACAGTGTCGCCCCCAACCCACCTGCCACAGCTTGTCCTCAAAAGCAGAAAACAAAGTCCTGCCAGGCATGACATAGTGTGTTGAGTGAGTTTGACCAATGGGAGGGACAAAGCCACATATTGCCTGAGGGATGTTTGATGGTGGCTTGTGTCAATAAAAGTATCGTGCAACGGATATTTCAATTGCATGTCAAGGTCCCCGGATGATCAGAATTAATATTTAGTCACCTGCTGGAAAGTGCCTGATACCCTTTGTTGGTTTGGTGTTTAAACCTTATAATTTTCAGTTCTAGTAGAGGTAGTGCAATGTGGAGCGCAAGTTCGTCTGCTTCTTTTTTGGGGGGGTGTGGTTGCTGTGACGTCAGAGCGCCGAGCTCTGATTGAGAACTAGTAGGTAGACCTCAAGGCAGCTTCCTTTGAGGTCTATCCGCTACCTTTTCATCAGAGCTCTGCGTTCTGACGTCACCACAACCCCTGTAAATGAAGCGGACAAACTTGGGCTCTGCATATAATTCTGGCTTGGGGTTAGGATAGCTGAATGGTTTTTTATGCTTTGATTTAACTGTGCTGCAAGAAATTGCCAGTAAACGACACCGGAACTGGGCTGTTATCTTCCTAGTCTCAGTGTCGTTTAATGGTAATTTCTCGCAGTCTAGTTCAATTGAAGCATAATTGTGACCTTTGTTTGATCATTCAAGCAACCCAGGCGAAAAGTTTCAACTGGGACCAGTTGGTCCCAGTTGCAACTGGTTTATGGAACAATTCCCAGTTGCAACTGGTCCCAGTTGGAGTTGGTCCCAGTTGGAGTTGGTACCAACTCCAGCAACAATGAAACACGGCGCAAAATGGAAGGTTGACAAGACTTTATTGTCAAAAACCTGGAGAATGAAACTAAATAGGTTCGGTGACGTACACGCTCCGGGTTTAGCCACTTGCTTGCGACGGTTGAATCGCTTTTTCAGAGGTGGTATTCATGCGATGAAGGAAGATCGGCCGCTAGCGCGCGTCTGTTAGTGAAGACGTCCTCAGCTTCTCTTCCCATCGCTGGAAGAAAGGTGCTCACCCGTGATCCTGCGTTGCGCAGGTGAAGTCCTGATAAGATGCGGTAGCGCTCCCACCTTGCAATCTCTGTCACAACAGTTGAACATTTTCGAGGTAGACCTCCCGCCATTTTCGCCATTGTGCTCTCCACGGCGTGTTCTCTTCCGTCCGGTCTATGTGCGTCCGGTCTTTCCTGGGTGCCCTCCGATCGCTGAACTGCATCTTTCCATCCTCGAAGTTCACCGCCGCCACTGTGGTGTGTGTACAGTTAGGTCCAAAGAAGCGCAGCTGTAGTTTTGACATTTTCATAACGACGCCAACTTGGGCGATGGCGACCCTTCTCTACCGCGTCCGTCCGACTCCGGCGTCAGCATAGGCAGCGCCATCTGTCGACAGCGCGTACCACTAATCCGCACCCGCGTGCCACGGCGGCCGGCTGGCTCTGATTAGTCAAAAGATAAATTTATTTATTAAAAGAAAAAAAAATACTGTAGGTATTTAAATAAATGTTTTAATATATTTTAATAATGCACTAAATGTTCATTTAGGTGAACACATTTTGTCACTAATTATATTTTCCAATTAAAAAATTATTTAGTTAATTAAAATTTTTATATTATTTTTATAAATATATAAATGCACCCCAGTAATTAAAAATTCCCTATTTGTATAAATCTAAAAATGTTAGTGTTTTTAGTTTTCTTCATTAGCAAAGGTCAATACACCCCCAACTTGTCCAAATTGTTGCCCAGTGTGAACTGGGAACGGGAAAGGCATTTGAAGTCCGACTGGGAATCGCTCCAACCAGTTACTTTCCTAACTGGTTCCAGTGCACTCCATTCCCAACTGGGAGTCAAACCAGTTGACCCAACTGGGAATGGTTCAAACCAGTTGACTCCCAACTGGGAATGGTTCAAACCAGTTGACCCCTCAGCTGGCCCCAGTTGGACTCCTATTGGTCCCAGTTGATTCCCAGTTGGGACCAGTTAGTCCCAGTTGATTCCCAGTTGGGACCAGTTAGTCCCAGTTGAAACCAGTTGAGGTGCCAACTGGTCCCAGTTAAAAATTTTCGCCTGGGAAATGAGCAAATAATTCTGCAACCAACTTGCCCCCCCCCCCCCCCCCCCCCCCCAAAAAAAAAAAAAAATGTGACTGAATGCAACTTTTTAGATTCTGAACAAAATGTGTGAAGGCAAAAGAGCTGGTTTAGTTCAAAATGTAATGACAAAAAGAAAACACAGTCTCTGAACATGACATCATGGAGCTTGTTCGGGCACACTCTTGCCAAAGGCACTTCACGCACTGTTAAAGGAACACTGACAGGGTATTTGTGCTCGCCAAGTTTTTTACTTGTACATGACGTAAGAGAGCCCAACTACCCAGAAAACAATTCACGGCGCGAAATTCGTTTTCTTTCTGCCTGAAAACTGCTGATCGAGAGCTGGCCGGTTTGAGGCAGGCTTGCTCTCTTCTCCGTGGTCACGTGCCGTTTTCTATGGTTTAGACGCAACCACCAAATATAATCAAAGTCGTAGGTAATTGAAGGCACACGCACAATATTAAAAATAGAAATGTGATACCCACTTTTTTGTGGCTTCTAAAAATCTACAAATACGTTGATTGGAAGAAAAAAAAAAAGTTGCACAGCCACATGACTTCCGCCAACTCTCTTCTCCTCTATGTTTCTTCTTCGTCCCCAGTCCGGTTTCGGTTTCGAGCAGTTGGATTTGTTAACTTTATTAATAAAAACGTGACGCTGTAGCAAAATATTGATTGGGTAGTCTTCTGGCATTACAATGAATCGCCTGGCAAAAAATAAATTCTTGGGGGTGTCGGCTTTAAGATGACATTTTGTTGACAACCCACTGTTTAGAAATACAATCTTTGACAGGGGACAAACATGAGGACCGTCCACGGAGTCCTTGGAAAACCTTCTCTCTCATCCTTGAGGGTCAATTTGTTGCACTAAGTTTGTACAAGGGGGGACGTTCTTCCCTCCCCCCTCAGCAGGACTGATTTTCAGTCCTGCTGAGAAAATAGTTTGCATGTTGGTCTCTGGGAAAGACGATAAACTTCCAAACTTTGTCGAAAGCAGCGCATTAACGCTTGCAGGGCTTGCAAAGGTTTAATACTAGGGATTCATTGCTGTTTTGTAGCTTGATGAGCTTCCTGAGCCTCGGGGTTCCTGGGTGTGTTGGGATTAATGTGAGCTCCATTTGTTTTGCACTTTGTTCTCAGGAAGCGGAGGAGGAAAAAGAGAAGGAACAACCCGTGGCTGAGGCTGATAATTCGTGCTCCAGCGATGGCCCACCTGCGAAGAAGGCTGCATTGCAAGGTAGTGGAACAACTGTGTTTTTCTCTTTCATTTGGTTCCCATCATTTGGCGCGTTTGGAGATGCCGACTGTGAAAGTATTGTCTGCTGGTTTGTTTGTATCTTGTAGCCTTTCCACTTTGGAAAATCATATTCCTGGAAATAGTTTACACGAGGAAAGCGCCGACACCCAAGGTAAAGGGGGCAAGCTACGTTTTGACCAGTGACTCGGTGGGGTTAGTGCACCTTTTTATCGAGCTGTTTTTCTTCAGGCCTATCTAGATTGGGGCATCAAATTTCTTCAAGGCTTGTTGCGTGCCCGTCCTGTGAACCCCCCACCCCCTTCCTCCCCGCCCCCTCCTTTCTGTGCCCCATTTGCTAATGTATCCACCGGGGGTTTGTTGCTGCAGAATCCATGGCCAGTTCCTACTCTTTTCTTCTTTTTTCTTTGCATTTTTTTTTTTTAGCTACAGCAGATATTGTTGCTACACAATTGACAATTTTTAGCCTTTCTCTTTGAGTATTAGGTTTTCCAGTCTGGGAAGAATGCTGGACAGAGATGTATGGATGTTTGCTGCCCCACATGTTCTCTGTGTTTCTCTTCTTTTCGCAATGTCTGTGCATGTTTTTTTTTTGTTGTTTTTTGTGCCAGGAGCACCAACAGCCTCTTCACTGCCAGAAACATGGCTGCAAACTGGCGGTTGTAAAAAAAAAAATAGTGCCTCCACCTTGGGCACCGTCAAACGTGCGGCCTCCTTAATTTTCCAGGTGATGGAAGAGTTTCTACAAGTTCATTTTTGCCGCAGTCTCGCGCTAACGATGGATAAGTGTGCCCACATACTTCCTCGGCCTAGATGCTCAGAGAGACCTTCCTTGCGCCGAGGTTCTCTCTGTGCATCTTTTGTTCACAGTTACTCTCGTGTATTGCGTCGGAGTGTCGTGGGTTTATAGCTGCAGCCACTGATTACGCATCGAGGAAGGTAGCGGAAGAGAACGGACCGACACCAACTTCCACTGTGGGATGGGGGGTGTGGGACGTGACTTCACGAGCTCACAAGTGCACGTTAAGGTCGGGACAAGCCTATTGGTACGTAATAGCATTCACACATTGTATCAGGTAGCGGAAAAAGACGAACAGAAGCATACGTCCAAAAGTTTGTGCCTGTCCAGTTACAAGTTTTCGTATGTCCGTCATTTTCTGTCACCTTCCTCAATGTGCGGCGATGCCCATTACAGGGTGTCTACCAACCTGGAAAACCATGGAATTATCGGGAAATTGGGCGGGCCTGGAAGAGGCGGGGAATTTCCACCGCAATCAACATTGTTCAGGGAACTTCAGCTTTCGTTTCTCGGAGTGACGGCAAAAGACGCGTCTATGGCGTGACACATATTGCAGGCGACTGAGCAGGCATGCCAGTACAAATCTATACTTGGAAACTAGAGTCTAGGGGAGAGTCTGGGGATTCAACCCGAATCACCTTGTCTTAAAACACGCACACCAAGACGAACGTCCCCTCCTTGCCATTGTTGCATTCTTAAGTGAACTCTTCCTGCATATAGCACCTTTGCCGAATGGCTTCACAAAGCAAGAGCTCGTCTTTCTAGCTTCTCCTCACTTTCCTAAATGGACTGTTCCTACGGGCTCTCGACAGCATAGCAATTGAGTTCATTTTATTTGTACCGCTCGGGTGAGAACATCTCAAAGTTCAAACTGGAGAAGCCTTCATATGAACCAGTGTTTCCACATAAAAACTGCACTGCAGACACGTCTGTCCCCTTAAAAGTGAGTCCGGGAATTTTTACAAACTGGACAGTGAAAACCTGGTAACGCCAGGGAATTTGAAAAGATCATTTTGGTAAAAGCCCCATGTTATCAACACACTTGTCCCGACCTTGAAGCCATTAGTTTCACTTTGGTGCAGTTCACCTCTGCTTCGGGCAAGCTTACAAAAAATATAACATCCAAAAAAAAAAAAAAAACGGGTGTAAATCCGTTTTTGGAGAAAGCATTTTGAAAGTACTAGGCCACCCTTTAAGCCTTGGTTGTACACTGTAACGCGCTTACCTCGGTGCAACCACTTTGTGACACTGGCGTGTGTTCTGCTCTGCAAAGAGAAAAACCGGGCGGCGTTAACGAACGTGGTTGTTGAGGGCATTGGTGCGGAAGGGGGGGTGGTTTGAAGCGCCAGTGTGGCAGTGATCGGCTGGATTCTAAAGCGCTGCCTTCTCTTGTCTCTTTCTGTTTCTTCTACGAGTTTTTGCAGGTGTCGCCCCCCCCACTTATTGCGAGCGCCACAGGCACCCCATCGTCCCAGCAGGGTGTATCAAACCGTCGCCTTAGTGATTGGCCGCACTGCTGCCTGCCTGTCTCACGCTCGCTAAGAGTCGCTGGACATTCACGGGGCACCATTGGGTTGGACAGCACGCATTGCGCCTACATTGAAAGGGCTCCTAGTCTCCCAGCTCTAACTACCGCGCATGTCGACGGGTCGACAGGGCTGTGAGTTTTGAAAATTGCCGAGACATTAACGAGGCGAGCAAAACGGATGAAGAGACCTCGTATTTACGAGCGCTGTAACATTAGTTTACGCTCGTTGCGGCTGGACGCTTTCGGCTGGCTCAGACGGGGCCAGCCAATGTGCCGCACCTTTGTCCCCAAGCAGTATGACGGAGCCCGTTGCCCCGAGAATGTCCAGGGGCTCGGACGTCCATGTTGCCTTTACCTTGTCCTCCCTCTTCCTTTAATAGTGACGGACCGACCTGGTGGGCCATGCAAGGCTGGCGGCACTAGCCCAAGTCACAAGTTTCTCTTTGTTTTTTGTTTTTTTTTTTCCCTCAGCTTTTTTTTTTAACTGAACCAGAGGCTCAGGCTTCTTGTTTTCTTTTTCTTTTTAAATTCTGGCATGATTCTTTTGTGTCTCTTTGAGTGCAAAATTTTGACAGGTGCAGTTTTTTTTTTCTTTGCTCGAGTTGACTTTTGAACCCCTGTGAGCTACAATTAAGGCGTTTCTGTGTGTATTCTTTTCTTGTTGTTCCAGAGGACACCCATTCGTACCGTGCTCACTATCTGCAGGTCTTGTCTGGGGAGCCGATTGAGGTGGTCGCTTTAGAGACAAAACATTGCATCATCGCGTCTCTGTGCATGTGTGTGCAAACGTGCACTGTCTGTGGTAGCGATCGTATTAAGAGGGCTTAATTGCTATGGACAGGTTGCAGAGAGACTCGCATATTAGGTAGATCAGATAGTTGGACTTCACTGTGCATATTGAGATTTATCTAGGGGGTGGGTATAAACACACTGGTACTCTGTGAAGGCGACTGCCCTATGCATTTCAGCAGCTTGTTTTTACCTGAAAAGCGAGAGAATAGCCCTCTGCGGAGAGCTGTTTTTTGCTGTGTTAGGCCAAAGTTAGTGCTGTCACAGGCGATGTTTTTCGTTGCACCATTGTTTTTCTGGCACCGAGAGCACGACTAGTGTTCTAGCTAGGCGGGCGACTTCCAGAGTGCCTAGCACGTCACTTGTTAGACACTTGCTTAGCCTTCCGGTGGCACTTATATTCAACTTTCAAGTGAGAGAACACTCCAGGTGCTTCTAAATCTTGCTTCGCAACACTGCTAATTGACTCCCTCGTCTAGCGACCGATAAAATTGGGCTCTTGCACTGGGTGTTGTCCCACGTGAATTTATTTGCAGAGCATTTCTTCGTCATAGGTGCTCATTAAATAGCAGCATTCTTTAGCATTCTTTGGCGACGCCATTCTGGGCAGATAGGGATGGCAGTGAGCAGCTGCGATGTAGCTAGGCATGACGAGTGTTGATTCGCTGCGTATTGTGTGACCTCTGTCTTCACTGTCGTTTTTTTCTCTCATGTCTTTTTATGCCATTTAGTTGAGAGGGCGTGCGGGGCGTCTCACGGTGTTGACACGATGCAAAGGGTTGCAAATGTGACAAAGCGCATGACTGGCGAGCTGGCGGTAATGGCCACCTTCAGCCTGCTCTCTCTTCTCTTTTTTTGGTGCTTTTTCAGGTGTGATGACGGTTAGGGAGCATCGCGAAGCTTTCTGGCACTTGCTGCCAACCACTCCTCGTAGCTTAGGTTTTGGGCACAGTCGCTTTGCAAAGTTCTCGGTTACGTCGGTAAGCCTTCCCATGCAGCTTTGGTGCTGTTGCTAACGGGCTGGCACCTTCGTGTGCGCGGCAAGTTTGGGACGCGTGTTGACCGGGGGGCTGAAAATTTTGGTGGAACTATTGGTGCGCTTTGCTTACCGTTAAAAGCTTTGGGCTCCGCAGCGTATGCTGGCCGGCAGCCAGTGCAGGGTAGTGCCCCTCCTGGCACCTTCTTTGCTTTAAAGGGACGGTAACACGATTTCTGGATACTAGCTTTGGAACTCGATTGATTGGAGACGTTCTCACTCCATAAAATCCGCTTTTAGAGACTCACATTGATAGGGCTCCGACGGTTGTGCACCACGCGGCAAGTGTGATAATCTCATAGCGCCCAAAGTGCCACCAAGCAGTGTCTCTGCCAGACTAGTTAAGGGTAAAATAAAAACTGTAAAGCATTGTTCAGAAGAAACAATTAAGGCTCACTTACCTCCTAGGCTTCACGCAGTTGGCCCATTTTGAGTCTCGTCTTTAAAGACGTGTTACCTGCGCTGTCGAGGGGAAACAAAAGTAACAACATTAACTGGATCATTTCCAGTAACATTTCCAAATAGATCCTTCTTCACAGGTTAAGTTAATTTGGGGTGTGAACTGGTATGTAACATTCATTTCAGAAAGCATTGTGGTAAACAATTTCTGTCGAGACAAATTACTCGCATTATATTATGGGTCATTCAGATGGCAAAAAAAAAAGACTTCCCAGTTCATTGAGATCTATGCAATCTTTTAACGTATGCAGGGGCAAGGCAGCTGCGCAAATCGTGCCATTTTGATACATTCACGCCAAAAGCATGAAATCGACCAAAATTGCGTCATGCTGTGCCAAAGATCATGGTAATGCTAGATTTAGCGAAAAGTAGAGGCTCGGTTGACAACCGTGGCTATTCCATTACCATGGGGCACAAGCCGCCGTCCGATTCCTTGGCTTAGTCATATCTGTTCATTCATCCATCCATCCATGCCATGGATCATACTTGCTACATTGTATGTATGATGCAACATAGCATGTAGCAATGATGTTTGCGAGTCGTGCCCCTTCATTTTTTAATTAAAATTTGTTGCTAAAATAAAATATATTTCTGCGTGCAATTTCAATAGTTTTGCAGTTTAAGGTTCTATTCAATACTTCCCCGCACTTGTAGTACACACCTGGTTTTCTTGAATTGTAACTTATGGCACAACTTGCTAAGATTCTTAAATGATTTTGCAATTGCTCCTAAAGTACTCCAAATACAGATTTTTTTATTATTTCTAAGTTACTTCAAGAGGCAGATTTTCTGCTCCTAAGCTGCTCCAAATTGCGGATTTTTCTGCTCCAAAGATTGCTCCAAAACCAGTTTAATCTGTCCCACCCCTGCATATGGTATAGTGAGCTAGGTCCAATCTAGTTCCAAATTTATTGATTTAAAAATACTTACATCTGTTGCAAAATGAGGTAGTTGGCACTTAGGCTAGTGTGAGAGAGTGGTTTATTTGTTTGATGCAGTAATGATAGTTTACCGTCCCTTTAACTCTGTCGGGGAATAAATTGTGCCAGATCAATCGGGTACGCTCGTCCCAATATGTCTCGTGTTAGAGAGCGAATGGCAAAAAATGTTAAGGGCACCTTTCTCGTGCTCCAGTTGGCGGCACGCTGCATAAAGCTCGTGTTTGGCCTAGTGTACTTGGGCTTTATCTACACTCGTGGTTTGGATAAGAGAAAAATCTTTGTGCAAATTTTATGTTTACTGCAGCTTTACTCGGATCATTTCTTCCATTGTGTGCTCGTCTTTGCACCACCATCAAACGCTGCAACTTTTATCAAACATACTTGAGAGAGAACTTTTACCTCGTAGCATTGCTATGCTTACAATGTCACGAGCGAACGTGCCTAGCATGGTAGGATGTTGTTAACAAATCAAGGCTGGACGTTGCGGAGTCTAATCTCCACAAACGAGCTTCGGATGTACTTTGCCTGCGTAGCAAGGGCATCATTTACGTAACGAGACAGGGACCTCTGCAACTGCAGTTTTCCTCTGTCCTGTGGGTGGCATACCTGGAGGTTAGTCATCGGACATCCGCAGAGGACTCTTAAGCTTTGGGCTTCTGTGACGTCTGATAGTCCACCATAAAGGCCTTGACCTAAAGGCAGACAAACAAGCAGAAAGGAGGAAGCCACCTCTCGATTTCCCCCTTCCCACCCAGAAAGGGGGAAAACCTTTCTTTCTGCTGGGAGTAGCTCCTGAACCTTGTTTTTGGGGGGGGGGAGGGGAAGGGGAGGGGGGGGGGAGGGGGAGGGAGAGGAGGAGGAGGAGGAGGAGGAGCTTGGCAGAAAGCACTGCCCGCTCATCGACCTCTAAGCTTGGAAACAATGTCCGTTTAGGTTTTTTAGGGTGCATCTCTTTGAAGACCTAACATGCACATGTTTAAGGCACAATTGGATCTTCAGTGACTGTATTTGTTTTCTACTGATCTGCAGAGAAAAAGTGTGTCGTACATTTATCAATGTTTTTGAGTAAAAACAAAACCAGAGACCCCAGCAATTGTGCACACACCACAGAGCGTAGTTCGTAGCTGTGCACAGTCAAGATGTGCTATAATAGCGCTTGAAGCCCGACGACCAAACCCAATATTCTGCAAGGCTTTCCTCCTCTCACGTCTTAGAGCGAGGGAAGCGAAGGATGGAAAGAGGTTACAAAAAAAAGTCTGGCATGAGTCTGCGCGTGCCTTTGTGCAAGCATGTGAATGGAGATAAGCCAGCAAAAAGGCTGCCCCCAATGGACACGTCACAATCTGTGCATCAGAGGATTAGTGAAGGAACCTTCCAGGACTAAAGTTCAGGGCCAGGAAACGAGAACTAAGTTTGTTTCTCGTACTGCGCGGCACATCTTTGCTGGGTGCTTTTTGGTCAGCGAAATTTTTAATCAACGTGAATTGGCGTCTTTTCTTAAATAACTGCTGCCCCTCTCAAAATCCTGGATCGGAATGCATTGGTTTAAATTTTGAGGGCCACAAGGAAGGAAGAGTGAAGAAACATTTTTGGGTAAGCTGCATATAAGCCACAATGTGTAGAGTGACACTAGTCTATAGAACGTTAAAAATTGTCACTTCCAGTATGGGCGAAAACATTGTTTTGCCGCCACCTCGCCAATAGGATACATTTAGGATACAAGCGTAACCGCCGCTTATTCTTGTTTTGTCACCCTTTATTTTTTTCACTATTTGCAGGTTGAAATATTTTATTGCTTTTTCGTTGCCCATGCCGGATATGCCTACCAAAGTGGCTGAGGGCGAGAGTAAGCGAAAAGGTCTATACTATATGGCGTGCTAGTTATACTCCATTCACTCACAGGCCACTGCATCTAAGAATCGCGACCTAGCTCCCTTTCTCGGGAGGCAGTGGCTTACTTTGTTCAAACACGCAATCGCGTGTTTTCATACTGAACTTTTGAACCAGCGCCTGCGTGGGGCTGCGCATGTGCAGACAATGTTTTCCAAAATCGTGGATATCCTCGATAAAACAAAGCACCAAAAAACAAAGACCGGCCTCCATTCGTGTTTAGCAATGTCACCCCCCTCCCCCCTCTTCCCCCAAAAAAGAAAAGGAAAACTCCAAGGGGAACGTATAAAGAAATACCAGTGCAGGGCACGCTGACTAAAAACCTTCACTGACGCCAACGGCATTGTAACTCGTGAACTTGAGGTCGCTTCTCAATCGTGTTTGGGTTGCTCTTTTGTATCGTAATCCTGTTTTCTTTTTGTTTGTTTTTTCTAGTTGGAGTTTATGGTTTAGCCGCTTTGGGTTTAGCGGAGCTGGGGTAGGAGACGCGGGGAGGAGGAAACAGGCAACTGTGAAAAGGGAAGGTGGAGGAGGGAGAAGAGGAAGCTAGGGAAAAGTGGAGAGCACGTAATGGTCGTCGGCCTTTAAACGGTGAAAAATGCTGTACTTTTGTACTTGGAGGAAGGGACAACGAGGTCTGAGAACTCGTGCTCGGGAGGAGACCTACAGTTTTTAGCAGCTAAACCTTTAGTGCCATTTGTTTCCAATTCTAGCGTTTGATGAGTCTGGCAGAAAAGAGGAAAGCTACCTTGCCATTTTATTTTTATCTGGTTTATAAATTGATCAGTTTGAAAATACTGCCTATGGGAATGCCATCTGTAGGGTAGCAGGAGGACTTTATTCGCACAAGTGCAATTCGGCTACGCTACATCCATTGCAACAAATGTCTCCGACCTTGTTTGCACCCTGGATACACTTAGGTAGCTTTGGTCGCCCCTCAATTGAAGTCTGAGAAAGGCAATTGATGCACAACATCCTAGCCCTCTGCTGCTGGTACTCTTACGCGAGGAAAGGCTATGCGCCTTGTTGCACATGGTAGGCTGACATCTGGCAAGCCACGTTACTCCCTGCATCTGTCTATACAGAGACCTCTGGAAGGTGTCTGATTGGCAGCCGATGTTTTGTTTATGGACTTAGCAGAGCTTCTGCAGGAGGGGGAAGGGCTAAGCCTGATGTAAAGTCTCTAAAGAAGCCAGGTCTTTGGAAAGGCTGATAAGGTTAAGCTACGAAAACACTACAGAAGTAAGTTCCTCGTGTCCCAGGAAGGCTGTGCAAGTCCCTGAGGGGTCTAGATGCCAGAAGAGGCCCAAGTTTAGTCGGGGGAGAAAGCAATGGCTGCTCTACGGGTAGAAATTGAGGCAGAAGAGATCGAGAGCGCACGGGGATGTCGGAACACCGAGCTCTAGTTGGAAAGATTAATGGGTAGACTCAAAGCTAGCTTCCTTTGTCTCTACTGAATCTTAATACGCCGGCGTTTGCATTCTATGATTGAGCAGGGACAAAGGCGGCTAGCTTTCCGTCTGTCCACTAATAGTTACATTTCTAACTCAGTGTTCCGATGTCCCCGTGCACTCTTGTCTCCTCCCTCCCTCAATTTCTACCCATATTGTGAGGCTTGTCGGGAGGGGAGTGGGCTTCCTTTCTCTCTCTTGCAGCCGCCTTGTCTGGACTCCCCCCAACAGTGGCTGACAGGTGCGGCCTTGCGTTGCTTGCAGACGGCCCCAGCGGGAAGGAAGAGGGCAGTCTGCAGCAAGAACAGATGGGACCCGTGTTGGCGGGACCCGGGGCCCTCAAGGCGTCGCCGCCGCTCATTGGTTTTGGGCTCATGAAGCTCTCGCCTGAGCAGCTGGAGATGGTGACCAAGGCCAAAAAGTATGCCATGGAGCAGAGCATCAAGAGTGTGCTCATGAAGCAGACCATCGCCCACCAGCAACAGGTGCGTGCCTGTGTTTCCTGGCAGCCTTAGCAAGTTCCGTTTTTGCCGGGCACCAGTTTGTAAATCTGTGCAAGAAATGCAATCTTAAGGTTTCAGGGGCCCTACCTTAACTGAAAATTGGTGATGCCCGAACGACTCTTTCGTACGATAGGCATATGAATGAGACATTGGATATGCTTTGTGCTCAACGGCCTATCAATAGTGTTGCTTAGAGAATGAGTCGAGAAGTAGAACAAGAGACTTTAGAGGATGCAGTTAACCCTTTGAATTGAAACCTCACCTAGAATGTTTTGAGCCGTTACACTTGGTATGGCCCCAACTCAGGGCTTCATAAAGTGCACCTAATCCTTTCTAAGAAGCCGTTTAATTGTTTGGAAATGGTGTCCACATGTATTAAAATCGGAAATCGTCAGAAGCCTCATTGTCATCTTTATCAGTTGTGTAGATTGTCAGTTATTGTATTTTTCACTCTTAAATACTAGTTCAATGCCAGTGTTAGTCGGATCTTCCCTGCGATTTGGTGTGGCAAAAAGAGCCATGGCCTGTGAACTTTAGAGCACTCTAAAAATTTCGTTTTCCTTTTTTTTTTTTAGAGCAAAATATATTGACCATTTGACCTCTCTATCTTATCTGAAAAAATTAGACAACCCAGCATCCAGTGCTTCTTGTCTAGGCCAGCAAATCGGCGACTCTAGTGGCGTGGCCCTTTGTGGCAGTGTTGCGTCTGATCACTTATTTCGGAAGCGGACTGGTCAACGAGAGCCAATTCTCGTTGAAGAGCCAATGTTAGTGCTTTACCGAAGCAGATCGGAAACACAAGAGAATGGTAACTTTCTTTACTCGTTTTACTTCCGAGGTGTGGCCCTGGTCTTATGTTTCTTTTTTCTGGTTGCAGCAACAGAAGACACTGCAGCGGCATCAGGCCCTGGTCTTAATGTGCAGGTCAGTGGGGTTGGGAGCATTTCTCTCTGTTCTGTGGCCCATGGGAGAACTTGCAACCTGGCATGAGGAAGAGGAATGTGGGATTTGCACACCAGGGTGCTTCAGTAGGTGGTGCACTAACTATAGTCACCGACAAGGTGAAAGCGGCAGGGGGGGGTGCTTCAGTTGTCCCGCCGCCAGCACGAGCTTCCTACCTTCAACAAGGCACCTCGTGCACGTCGAGTGCACGTGCGCAGCTGAAGCACCAAGGAATGCATGGAGCACGTGCTGGAGGCCGGGCGTTCTAAAAACTACACCCTGCCGTTTTCACTCTGTCAGTGACTTGTTCCTCACTTATGGGTGAAGTTTCTAGTTTCCACTATTAACCAATAGACCTATTGCTATATTACCCAAGCATCAAGGAGAATGCAGGGATTGGTGTTCCACGCGTCACACGTGCTGGCGTCAGCAGCTGTAACTTTTCTAAAGCAAATACATAAAACAAATGGCATCTTGCACGCCCGTTCGTCAGCGCTTCATTTTGGTTATTTACTTTCAATCCTTTATATGGGGAAGGCGTGCACATGTGGCGCGTGGAACACCAATCCCTGCATTCTCCTTGATGCTTGGGTAATATAGCAAATGGTCTATTAACATGGATGAGTATGTGAGAAAGGTTAGTTGTCGAACCGGTAGCAAAAGAAAGAGTACCAGAAGTCTCGCCGGTCGTTGGGTTGTCTGATTCCCGGGTGTCTTGTGGGGAAGTGCCAAGCCAATATGAATGTAGCGCTGCTACCCCTGGGAAGGTTTAGTCGGAAAGCCTGGAGCAATAGAGCTAACATTTATCGTTTGTTGCGTCCATACTGCCTGTATGTTTGCTTTTGTGCGCTGCTCTTGGCTTCTGTAAGCCATCTTTTCACCAATTTTTGACACTGGTAAATGCCTTGGGTACTTATTATGCCAGAAACCCCACTCTTCTGGGCATGTCTACCATAAAATGTCGAGCACATATGTCACAGTAAGCGTGCCCTCCAGCTACATTGAAACATTTGGAAATAAAGACATGAAGTGCCCACCCCAGACCAAAGATTGCTGTGCCTCTGGGTTTGTAGAAACCCTGGTTAAAAATGTTTTTTTTATTTTTTTATTTATTTATTTATTCAGACATACTGCTGGTTCTGTGGAGAGCTAGACCAGGTGTGGGTAGTACACATAGAGAAGAAAGAAGAAAAAAACTCCTTTTGAAAATAAATACACAGATGGGATACTATGACAGTGCACATACTGAGGTAGAGTACAAAGATGTCATATCAGGACAAAGCATATACCACAGTTTATTATAGAAATATAGTCTAAAGTTACAACATCAATAGGAAAGATAACATATAGCACATTGATATAAACTGATCCACCGATCCAAAACAAACCTTGAAGAATTTCTTGAACTTTGGAGATTTCTAACTTTGGAGGTTTCTTGCTTGCTATGTGAACTGTAGGTTTTAAGTAGAGGTGTTGCAAACCTGCCAGGTGCGAGTTCAACCAGGTTCATTTTTTTCCTAACTTTGACGAACTCGAGTAACGACTACAGTTAGACTTTTGTTCATATTCCTGAAACTTGAAAATGAGCTGACTCTACCTTGTTGAGGAAAAGTGAAATTTTTATTGGGTATGTTTAAATTTTTCATATTACTAAAATTAACTAAATCATTAAAAGTACATAAGCCTACTTGCATGTTGTGTAAACATTGGCGAGTATTTTATAAAATATAAAATGAACAACTTTATAAAGTATTTGTCGCCCAAAATTCGAAATTTTTGTGTAGAAGTTGGGCAACAAACACTGCCTATAAGTCGAACAAGAAATTTTTTATGCCCTAGATTTACCGTAAAACACTGAACATCCACCCATCCTATACTAAGTTCTCACCCCTAAATTTTGCAACATCTCAAAAAATGTGCACAGTACATATATACGGTTAGATAAAATTGATGACCTAACAAGCACCCATTTCCCAATTTTCGCGATTATCTCCGTATTTCGAGTGGGCGCTTGCTCGGCATTTTACGGTAGTGCTACTCAACGCCCAAGAAAAATGTGATGGGAGAGAAGTAATTTGCACTCGACCATTGATTAGTATCAAATGTCTGCCAAATTGCACAACAGATTAGGACACATGGAAATAGATGAGGAAGGCACGGAAAGCTTAGGAAGTGATAATAAGCGACTTAAAATAAAATCTGGTACAGCAGAACCAGAGTCACAAATTTGTGAATGAGAAAGTAAATCGACCCTAAATGACATCCAACTACAGGAAGTATCCGAACGAGTAGGGACTATAGTAGCTGGGCACCAAGAGGGAGAGAATGGACACACAGTTGCCGACCGATTTTTCGGTTGCCAATAATTTACACTTGTTTGATGCTTCGAACCTAAAGGAGGAACTGTGACCTACCTGATAGAAATAGTGCATATTCACAACCGATGTTTCAAACAGCTTGAAGTCCGAAAGTTCAATTTTTTTTGGACAAAATCGTTGCGAGCGATCAGCGGGAAACACCACCGAGAAGCGGCCGTTTTGGATTGTATGTTGGCCGCACCTGGATTGGCTTGGTTTGGCAGCACTACTTGAGTACTACTAAATCGTATGCTAGGTGACACTGCACGGCTTTTTTTTTTTCGCTTGCTGCACGTCATTATCATCATCATCCTTACCATTTTACTTTGTTAATTCGCCATGGCAGTCGTGGACTCGCGCCTCTCATCTCGATCTTGTCTCAGTTAATCGTGCTTTCGGACTACGCTGGCTTGGACGTCATTGCCCCCTCTGTTCTTCCGCCTCCGCAATGTGTCGCTAAGAGGCGCAGAAAGTACTCGACCATAACGCTAGAAAAGGAGGCAGCGATTCTCAAGCTAATACAGGGGTGGAACGGCTGTGCCATCTTGCGCCAGACGCATTTGTCTGCGCCATCCTGTGCCATGTTGCGGAAACTGCGCCACAACCAATACCTTGCGTCATTATGCACCAAATCGCATAACGTGTGCCAAAAAGATCTTATTTTGTCTTGGTTTCGGTTTATGTCTACTTGATTGGCCGCAATGAGCGCATTTAGCTTGGTCGATCTTGCAATCCTTTGTTCTCTTTATTCTCCCCGTGTATCCCGAGTCGGAAGCACGCGAAAAAACTCGGGGGTTGGATTCCAAGCGCTACACCACCTGCGACTGGATTGTTATTCTTCAACCATAAGCGGTTAAGCAAGTCGGCCGAAGTGAGATCGAGTCGTTAAGCGTCAGATTGCCTGAGGCTGTGCGGCCAGGGATCCGGACGTCAGTCAATTGAAAACAAATGAGCGAAAGATTCCTTGTAGTACCTCATCGTTAGAAGTGGGAACTGCATTCCGGCAAGATAGATTGTGATTTGATAGAACTGAAACGCGGTCCGATCCGAAACCTTGCCGGCCAGCAGCTCTCACGCGAGCAGTAGATCTGCTCGGCGTACTTTAACTTTGCTCCTGCTTATCGCTTCAAATACGATAGCTCCATTAATCGTAGTCTGGTGCTTCGATATTGAGTTGCACAATAGTATAAACTTGAAATTTGTTGCCCTGTTCCTCTGTGCAACTGCACGTCCGTTGCTTACGCACGTCACATGGTTCGCGCATATAATTAGTATGTCGAGCATGTGTGCGTTGCGCGGTAAGCAGTGCTGGTTTGTATTTTGAGCAGCTGAAAGCCCCTCAGAAAATATCAAGGACACTATCTTCAGAAACATATGGTACTTGCTTTTTGGTTCTCATTAAGTCTCACAAAGTTTCAAGTTTCCACATCTGTTACACTGTTATCCCATCTACCTAGGTCCCTAACCAGTCATGTTTATCTATGCTGCTAAGCACAATTATTGAAATTGCTCCCATGCTTGTCTAATGGCCAATTCGTCTGGGCCCGCATCGCACCGGTGCAGTGCGGTTCGTGGTACACGGAAGACTATAGGGGAGAGGGAAGCGTCCTTCTCTCCCCGCCAGCCTTTTGTGTATAAAGTGGAAAGAGTTTACTGCACTGGACGGGTGCGGTGCGGGCCCAGACGAATTGGCCATTAGACACAAGCTGAAGTGCCATGAGAACTGATCTGAGCTGCTCCTAGCCTGCTCCAGAATGTAAGTTTTAGCTGCTCCCAACCTGCTCCAAAACAGCTGTTTCAGCTGCTCCCGTGGCTGCTCCCAAGTACATTTCACGAGTTCCACCCCTGTAATAAAAAGTTGCCAAACGCAAACGGAGGCGTAACCTGAAACAAGGCGCGCAGGTGTAACCTGGGGCAGGGCACTATTTACGGCTTTTTCTAGCCCATTTAGACGTAATAAAGGCAAGTTTTTTTAATCTGCTGATTTTTCGGACTGCTCTATTATTAGAAAATTTTTTCGGTTTCTGCAAAGTCCAGAAAATCGGTAGGTGACTGTATGATGATTTAATGTTCATTATTAAAAGAGAGTTAAAGAAGTTTAAAATCAAGCAAAAAGGAAGGAGGAGAAAGCACACACCAAAAAGCTGGTGAGACAAAGTAAGCAAAGAAGTTAAGGCGGCCATAGCAGGGCGACAAGAGGCCTCAAGGGAACACAGATGGGCAAAGAAAAGGGGGCATCCGCTGAAGTAGCGTCAAAGTGGGATATGTTTCAGGAAAGAAAGACAGGCATCGGCTCTAATCCAGGCCAAGATCAGAAAAGAAAAAGAGAGGCATCGGCTCTTATCCAGGCCGAGATTGGGAGAGCAGGAGTGCAGTGGATGATGGAGGTAGATCAAAATTATAGGAACACGACAAAGAAGTTATGAAAACACATCAATGCACAGGAGAGAAAAAGGAAATAAGGTTCCATTGTTTATTGACCACACAAGAAGGGATAACGGTAGAGGGCGATGAGGCAAGGGAGTTTATTAAACAAACAATGGAGGCAACATTATCAGAACTTGAAAGTAACGAGATCGGACAGAACACAGATGGCAGCACGTTGCAAGACAAGAACACTGACAGTTAAGACAACTGAAACTGCCATGCAGGAATGGGACAGAGCAGAAAGCAAAGTTCCAGTTGGAACGGCAACAGGCCCTGATGACATAGGAATGAGGCTTGTCAAGACACTAGGCAAAAAAGCAAAAAATGCAAATTAAAGTCAGGCAGTTGACATAATAGTTATAGGGGGAGGGGAGGGGGGGGAGAGGGAGGGGAGAGATGTACCCAAGAACTGGAAACTGAGCAGGGTGAGATTACTACATAAAGGCAAGGGAAATAAGGATAGCATAACATCACACTGCCCAATAACAGTAACTGTGGTCGTGTACAGACGGCAATGCAAGTGGTAAAAAGAAGAGTTCAAGAATGGGCAGAAAACAGCCATATTCTAGGTGAGCTGCAGAATGAGTTCTGAAGAGATAGAAGGTTAGATGACAAGTTTTCTGTCATCATGCAATGTATCAAGGTGGCACGGATGAGCAAAATACCATTATGGATAGCATTTCTATACATTAAAGGTTTGTATGACAATGTGGGTGAGGAAAAGCTATGGGCGTGACTGAGAGGGTATGATGCAGATGCACATTTGATTTGGTTTTTACGACAGGTAATAAGTACCAGTCGTTCTGGTCTAGTGCTGTAATGTGACTGAGAGAAGAGCCTTTGGCTTTTCTCATGTTCCGATCCCAGAATGCCTCAACACCGCTCCTGCTCCACGAGGTGCTGGCCTCTCGCGACACACTGGAACACTGCTGAACACCACATATACACAAATGATGCAGTGGTTATAACACGGGAAATAGAAATGATGGAATCAACAGCAATAAAGAGAGGGCTTAGGCAGGGTTGTCCGCTATCGCCTCTGCTTTTTATTGTATACCCAAGTAGACTGGAAAATAAATTTGAAGAGTGCAATTTAGGTTTTGATGTGTTGTATATGGAGAGAGTGAAAAATGACCGCATCTTCCTGTGGTGAATGACGTTGATTGGGGCGAAGCTCTGGTGGTGCTGATGATACTGATTTTGTTCATAGGTAGTGCTGATGGTGCTGATTTTGATGGTGCAAAGTTTAACACAATTATATACGCATTTGACCGCAGCCCCCCTGCATAGACATTGAGTCGCTACATGCAACGTTTCATCCATGACATCCCCAGCTCTTGGGTTACTACCACATCTCAGAGTTCCTACTCGTCCTGCAGTCGTGGCCGAGTGGTTAAGGTGATGGACTAGAAATCCATTGGGGTCTTCCCGCACAGGTTCCAATCCTGTCGACTGCGCAAACTTTTTTTAAATTTTTTTAAGAAGACAGATGGGATGGCAATCGATGTGAGCACGGACGGACAAGGCTAGGCCCTAAGGAGCTTCGCCCCTAACAGTAAACCAAGTTATACTAGGATTGTTCTAGGCAGGCAACATTGTACTGCTATCAGATAGCCGGGTTGGATTACAAAACCTGATTAAAATCTGTGGAGAGGAAGGAGACTATTGGGCCTGGAATTCAGTGGCTACAAGTCGGGCATAAATGGTCTTCAATGAAGAAAGGGAGGACCCTCTGGAAATGCAAGGCACTTTAATAGAACATGTGAAGTATAAATATCTGGGCATATGGCTGAATGATGGAGAAAAAGACATTTAGAAGAACAGGAAGAGAATAAGCTGAGGAAAGGAAAAAGAAAACTGGTGTTAATGAAGCATGGGGCACTACGGAATTACAATAGATATAAAGTTGTTAGGGGAATATGGAAAGGAGTCATGGTGCCGGGTTTGTGTTTTGGCAATGTGGTTATTGTGCATAAAATCTGAAGTCTAGTCGAGTTTAGAGACCTAACAGAGGAGCGCAGTGGGGGTACATGGGAATACACCATACGAAGGAGTGCAGGGAGACATGGGAAATTTGGCTTCAACTTTGTATAGGAAACGAAAACAATAAATAAGGAAAGAACATTGGTAGGATAAATCATGAGGGGATTTGTTGTTGTTTGAGGCTAGAATGGGAGTATTGAGAACTAGGACATTTAGGGTAAAATGTGAAGAGATGGATAGGCAGTGTACCGTATGCCAAGGGGAAGTCGAGACGATAGATCACGTGGTATTGAAGTGCACAGGCCTTACTTTTGCATCCCCCCCGGACGGTGCAAGAAATTTGGCTAGAGCGCTGTAAAGTAGCGAATTGGGCCAGTTGGTAAACGTTACTATACATGATGAAAACCGCTCAAACGACGCTGACTGTGTGAAGAAAACAAACACGACAGGACGAAGCTGTTCTCACAACGAAAGCTTTGTTAGTGAAATTAACAGAAAGAAAACGGCGTAGCCACCACTGATTACATCAACAAACACATACTTATCTATCAGGCACGACACAATTTTTGGAGCTGAAGCAGTTCACACACCGCCATTCATATTACTGTAAAATACCGGACAAGCCTCCACTCAAAATTTAGAGATAATCACGAAAAAATGGGGGATGGGCGCTTGTCCGGTCATTAATTTTACATATAAATGTACTGTGCATATTTTTTCATATCTTAAAAATTTGGATATGGGCGCTTAATGTGGAATGGGCGGATGCGCGGTATTCTACGATAGCCCCCAAAAAGCAAACCTCTTTATCTGACTGAGCTACCTACGGCGTACTGTCAGCTGTCAATAAATTGTCTTTTACCGGTGTCCGATGTTCTGATTTTATACTTGCAGCTTCATTAATATACAAAATGGGTGATTACTAATTTCTGAGGAATTAGTAAATATGCCGAATGAACTTCAAGAATATTACAAAAACGAGGACATATTTTTAATGAAGTGACGAATGCGAATTTTGTTAAATTGCCAGGTATGACGCAGAATCCGCTGAGCTAAGAAAAAAATTTTTAAATTCGGTTAGTTTTTTTTTGCATCCGCTCAAAGGCCGGTGAGCTTTTCTCTGCATCTTCAGGTTTTGTGGTGAGCTTTTCTCCAGTGAGCATTTCTCCGGTGAGCTTTACTCCGGTGGGCTTTTCTTTGGTGAGCTTTTCTCCGCTGCCTGAAATTATCTAAGGAGAATTGAAGGTTGTATGAATAACTAGCACAGCTGCTTTACTCCGGTGGGCTTTTCTCCGGTGAGCTTTTCTCCACCGCCCGAAATTATCTAGGGAGAATTGAAGGTTGTATGAATAACTAGCACAGCTGCTTTACTCCGGTGGGCTTTTCTCCGGTGAGCTTTTCTCCGCTGCCCGAAATTATCTAGGGAGAATTGAAGGTTGTATGAATGACTAGCACAGCTGCTTTACTCCGGTGGGCTTTTCTCCGGTGAGCTTTTCTCCGCCGCCTGAAATTATCTAGGGAGAATTGAAGGTTGTATGAATAACTAGCACAGCTGCTTTACTCCGGTGGGCTTTTCTCCGGTGAGCTTTTCTCTGCCGCCTGAAATTATCTAGGGAGAATTGAAGGTTGTATGAATAACTAGCACAGCTGCTTTACTCCGGTGGGCTTTTCTCCGGTGAGCTTTTCTCCGCCGCCTGAAATTATCTAGGGAGAATTGAAGGTTGTATGAATGACTAGCACAGCTGCTTTACTCCGGTGGGCTTTTCTCCGGTGAGCTTTTCTCCGCCGCCTGAAATTATCTAAGGAGAATTGAAGGTTGTATGAATAACTAGCACAGCTGCTTTACTCCGGTGGGCTTTTCTCCGGTGAGCTTTTCTCCACCGCCCGAAATTATCTCGGGAGAATTGAAGGTTGTATGAATGACTAGCACAGCTGGGGACAGAGGAAAATTAGGACTCCCTCCCACGTGGCTCCGGCCCAAAGTCTCAACCCTGTCTCCCAGTGAGCAGCTGGGGCAGCGCCGGAAAGGTTTGGCCAGGGGAAAATTGGCGGCTCCCTCGGTGGAGGGAGGAGGCAGGGAAGCAGAAGGAAAAGAAAGTTTATTTTTTTTTGTTAGTTTTTTTTTTAAAGTTATCCTGGCACTATCCCACACTGCCTGGTGATACAGAAAGACTGAGGGGAAGGAAATTGGCGCAGAGGAAAAAAGCATACTTTTAATTTCTATGCTAGGTGGCGCAAGCTGCCGCCTGGTATAATGGATACAGCCGTTAGCATCCGTCCATCCATCCATCCATCTTTTCGAGCTTTTCAAGAAGCCCGAAATGTTTGCCGAACCAGTCGAACTTCGAGGTTCAATGTCAAACCTCAGGTTAGGTTCCACAAAAGTTGGCAACAAAAGTTTGTACAAACTTGTTCAGTGAGGAATGGAAGGCGTGAATGAAGGGTGCCACAACACTGCGAAATTTAAAAACCTGAGCCAGTTTTACTTTAGGCGACTCATAATTTGGGAGACCAGTCACTGCACTTGCCCCCGTTTTGGTAATTGGTTGTTTTGCGACCCTTAAATCGTCGCACTTGCCACCTCAGTGGTGCGCTTACTGCACCACAAGGACGGCCTTAGTTATCCGTTGTGACCCCTACAAGTGTATGCCTGTCTTCAGCTACATGAACTTATTTTATGGGTGGTTTCGCAAGAAGCTTGTCTCGATTACTGTCCCTAGAAGATACGGGTATGGTGCCGGAATGCGTCCTCGACTGGTGCGTGTATCTCTTCCGTGCATCGAAAGTGTTTTCGAAGTGACAACAAATTGCGTCAATGCTGCCTGATGTCGCCATCCTGTCGATTGGTCATAGAAACGCCGGCGAAAATGGTGAGCAGAAGCGAGGGTTGTGGTCATCCGTCTGGCTCCAGAGCGACCTATGGCTGAACAGGCGTTTGCCACATTCAGCCTTGCTGCTGTACCACCGTTAGGTTTGCGACAGGCAACAGCATGAGTGGAAAAGAAGGGACCACTTTTGAGGATGCGGTAAACGTGGGAGATGCACTGCAAGCACCACAGTATGGCCATCTTTGGGTCGCACGCAGGGTGTACGTGGGCAGCATCAGCTTTGAGCTGAAGGAGGACACGATCAAGCAGGCGTTCCGTCCTTTCGGCCCCATCAAGTCCATCAATATGTCGTGGGACCCCGTGACCCAGAAGCACAAGGGCTTTGCCTTTGTGGAGTACGAGCTCCCCGAGGCGGCCCAGCTGGCCCTGGAGCAGATGAATGGTGTGCTCATCGGCGGCCGCAACATCAAGGTGGGCCGGCCGAGCAACATGCCCCAGGCGGCACCCATCCTCGACCAGATCATGGAGGAGGCCAAGACCTACAACCGCATCTACATTGCCTCGGTCCACCAGGACCTGACGGAGGCCGACATCCAGAGGTAGGCCAACGTGGATGCTCTGTGGGCGTCTTCGAGGGTTTTTGGGGGCTTACGTGCTGCTCCGACGAAGGGCGTCTGGTGTGCGTAGCAAAGGACTGCAAATTGAGGGCGTGAGTTCTCAAAGTGGGTGCCTAGAAACCCTGGGGTTCTCCAGATCGACCTCTTAGGTTCCCCGAGCTTTTAAATTTCTTAGACCATCCCTGCCCTCTAAGGCCTGCTTCAGACGGGGCAATTTTCCCAGCCATTCTGGCGTTGCTGCGAGTTGTTCCCTAGCTTTCCCTAGATCCTCGCGCTGCGACACAAATGGCTGGAATCGAGTTCGGCTCGAAACAGGCGAGGAACTCTGACAACTCTGAGACGTTTGAAGTGGCAGCGGCCAATCAGGGGCACAATATTTTCATGTGGCGTCCCTGTGGTTCCGATGATGAGAACTAAAGACTGTGTTTAACTTGGTCCTGGTTTGAAATGGATCGTTTTAGGGAATAAATTGTTTCAGAAAAATGAGTTAGTATTTTCAACATCATTTAAAGCAGGGTGTCGAACCGAAAAAAATATGGGTTCGGTTACGGTTCAGGTTCAGGTAAATTAATTTTGTTCCGGTTCAGTTCCGGTTCGATTAATTCGATCCGCGAACCGGTTCGGGGCGCTGAACCGGTTCGGAAATTATAAATGACAAATTGCAACATCAAAATAAATTATAAATAAAACATCTGAAATCAGCACATACGAAACGGGATACATCGTAGTGTAATGCTCAGGGATTTCTACCAGGAATGGTTTCTTTATGTGCACTCAAAGGTTACCTCACCGACGTTTACGCATTCGGACTTCATCTAATTGGGTCCGACGCAGTAGCTGTAAAATCCGGGACCTCCTTACAAACCCACTTACAAGTAGAACTCGCTAACTATCCCGCCACCTCGGCGTGTAAGTTATTGAAGGAACAGTGGGGAGAAAATACAGGTTTCTTTATTTGAACTAGCCTTCGCTAACTCAAATTAGACTCTTAAAGAAGTTTCCATTAAACAAGATACGGAATATGAAAAACACTTCACCGAACGCAACGCCAGAAGGACGTAATAGGATAAATATTAAAATAGAAGAGTTCGCTGTCTCACAAATACGTTAGCTTCTAAGTGCTGATACGAAACCGGATGCATTATTATCAAACTCCACAGCCTTTTCTTTTCTCATACCGATGGAAGCAAGCTTCAAGAACTCGCGCGTTCTAGAAACGTGTTATGAAATGAGCACACAGCAGCATTTAGGATTTACGAGATTGTAGGAAAATGAAATCCCGTGACACGATTTTTTTTTTTTTTTTGCACAGTTTTTCAATTTTCTTTCTTCCGTGCAAGCCGCGACCAGTGCAATACTGGTTCCTATGTCAAGATTCATGGATGCAGCGTTTATATTCCTAAGACTGAGTGGAGAAGAAAAATATGTAAGCGAGGTGTGTGTCAGTTGACGGCATTTAAAAAACAAATGGCATTGATAGCATATTCATTGTCAACAGCGCGTGGCCGAACCGTTTTGACATGAGCCGGTAACCGTTATTTTTTTTCCGGTTCAGTTTCGGTTCGGGTTCATCGCGATAACAATATAACGGTTCGGGTTCAGTTCCGGAAAAAATACCGGTTCGGTTCCTGTTTTCGGTTCGGTTCGGTTCCGGTTCGACACCCTGATTTAAAGATATTAAAGAAATGTTTATAGCATGTAACTGTGTGCCTAAATAGTGCAAGAAAATAAAAATTTTATGATGATGATGGCAAATGGTAGCAATTCAGTTGCTGCATGTTTGTGTTGCCGATGTTGCAACGTCAAGTTGCTGGGAGAAACCGCTCCCTCTCAGGCGGGCCTAAGTGAAGTGTTCTGGTTTAAGCACTCTTGCAGCAAATCTGAGCCACTCATTGTGATACCCTGACTATTATTGCTTACAAGGTCTGTAGGCTTCTGTACTGCTTAATTGCACCAATGCTGAGGCCATGAGAGGGAAGGTTCTTTTGCTGCCGTTCGAGGCAGATAGAGTTTTCTCAAGATCAAAGAGTTTGAGAAACTGCCCTTGTATAGAAAGCACACAAAAGATGGGGACAAAGTAGCAAATGTGCATGACGGTCAAGTGCTTACTTGCAACTGATAATAGTTTTATTCAAACTTTATACCCAACGAAATGATACCACTTTTTAAATACTAAAGGGGAATATTAGCTCCTACCTGAGGTTAGGGCTAAGGGCTATGCTCATGAGCAAACTATGCTCGGCAACAAATTTTCTTTGCATCTCTGGGGAGAGGAGGAGAACCCGCGCACAGCTTTAATCAGCGCTCAAAAAGGGAGAGGGAGCGCGTGCCTGTACCTTTCACTGCATTGCCAAGAAAAGTTGTCCCCGAGTATAGGAGTGTTCTCTTTTTTGTTGTATACTATCCGTTGTAAATAAGCGCTAGTAGACTCTCTTCCCTTTCACACCTCTTTCGCTGCACTTGTTGAGTAAAGAGACCCGTAGAACCAGCGCTCCTCCCAGTCCCGCAGGGTTAATAAAGGCTTTTGACTGTACAAGCTTATTGGAAGGGTATTTTGCTATATCATAATATGACCTCTCTTCGTTGAATTCGATTCCTTTCGTTAGTCTTTGCTACGTACGTATGTTCATTATATGAATGCCTTGGATGGCACTACCAGCATTACAAACTTGTCACATTTTTTGTTTTTGCTAATGTGGCATGCTTGTAATGCTGCATGCATACAGAAATTGCTGTGGTAAAAATAGAGTGTAGATTTTGTTTTTCATAAAACCTATATGAAAATGTGCTGTTGACTCTCGACGAGAAAATGATCCTTCCTGTAATGTTGCAGCGTGTTCGAAGCATTCGGCAAGATCAGGACCTGCAAACTAGTGCCCTCATCGACCCCTGGCAAGCACAAGTGAGTGCCCTCCCTGCGACTTCCCCTGGGCGCAAGCATTGAGCGCACCGTTTCCCCTGCAGAGAGTATGGCTTCATCGAGTACGAGACCAACGTGGGAGCCAACGAGGCCATCGCCTCGATGAACCTCTTTGATCTCGGAGGGCAGTATCTTCGCGTTGGACGTGTGAGTCCTTCTTTGACTTGCCGCGCCTTGCCAGGGGCTCCACTTGCGCCTCGGCTGTCGTGGCAGTGACTCTTTCCACATCGAGGCTCTCGAGGCCTAACCATGCTCCCCTACAATTTTCTCACCATCGCCTTTGCCGAGAAATGTTCCTCTCTTTATAAAGCTACAAAGTATCTTGCATTGTGTGTGCTTGCCTGAGGTACAAACTTTGGATGCACAAATCCCATGCATCTAGTTCCCTTCAGAGCATGCGATCCGCGCTGTGACATCTCGCACAATGTTTGCACGATTCATTTTCGAGCCCTACTGGTATCGGCAGTGATGGAAGTGCTGCGCAATTTGCACCAAATTGCGCCATGAATGGAACTCTGCTACATCTTGCGCCGAAGTGCCATTTTGGCTAAGAATTGTGCCACACCTGCGCCGAGATGGGCCTAAGCGAAGCAAAAAATAAATTATTGGTCGACCCTAATATTCAAAGAAGTAGGTGGTAAGGAAAATCATAGAAATGTGTATTTCACAGCATCTCTACTTACGTATGGTTTGTTTCATCTTGGGTCAGAGCACAGTCGAAAGCTCTAACACATAGAACCACAAACACTTACTAAAAGTACAAGTCACGGGACATTTGCTGAGCTTGTTTGGTTTAGTCAAAGAAAAGTCATGTACAGGAAAATGGATGAATATCACGCTTTGACACTGTTTGTTTGATTCCATGAGCCTGTTGCATCGGATGCACTTTGAATTAATGTGGAACCAAATTGCAGAAAAAAACATAGCAGAATTGTAGGATGGTGGCTATTGTGATAAGACAAAACCAGCTTGCACTCCTGATGAAATCACTTGATTATCATGTCTGCCGCATACCTCTGTGCCGCCTCTCAACAGCATGCGCACGTCGAGCTTATCCGCTTTGCACCGGAGTGCTAGGTGCAGCGGCTGACATAGGTTAGCGCGATAGGCTTAGAAATTATTCTAGAAGGTCCATCTTCTTTGGTCTTGATTGTAGGTTGATCTCTAATTGGAAAGAGCTGCACCAAGAAAGACAAAAAAAAAGAAATACGAGTCATTTCATTAGAATACATACGGTAGTCGAGCTAGTTTCGTGCAGCTGTTGCTCGTAAGAGCAGCAAACTTTGACTTCACTCTGGTTTCAACTTTGCTCCAGAGCAGTGTCACTAGTAAAGCAGAAGTGTAGGTTTTCATAATATTTGTAGGTGGTTGTTTTTGCAGTTTATAATATTAGAGTCTTGTGTTTGGTAGGTTCATAAAACTTGGGGGATGTATTTTTGTTGATAGATGTGTTAGCGGATATGCCAATTTTTGCAGGAATTTTACAGAAATTATATTCACAGGCTAGATAAACTACCGGGTGTAAAAGTGGGAGGGCGTAGGGGCTTTATCCCAAGTGAAGGGTCTCTCTATGATTCATTTTTCATATATTTTTTTTTAGCATTCATTGTAGATGGAACCTACTTTGATCACGGCCTTGTTTTGAAAATGAAGGCTCTGTGTTCCTTTTGTGCCCTATCTATTCTTATTATAAAAGGTAATAAATATTATTCAGTATCAAAGAGAAACCCTCGATCATCATCAAAGATGAACTCATTTAGCGATGTAATCACTTTTTCAATTTGAAGTAATGTGCTAATGGACGTTGGCATCTGCTCCAGAAGCGTCAGTGGCTGCTCCGGACCAATATTTTGCCTGCTTCAGAACCTGCCACAAAAGGTCAAATGCCGCTTCCATCACTGTACCTGTGCCTTGACAATAGCTCCTCTCCTCCTGTAGTTGAATGGCTGGCAGGTGTTGGCTTTCTCGTGCTCTGCTGGAAGTTAAGCACACAAACTTAGTGCATGAAAAGGTGTGTGGGAAAAATGACACGGCTACTCTAGCATAGTCCTTTGACAATCTCTTCTACCCCTAGCTGGACGAATTGTAGCCATAATTTGCCAAACATGCGGAGTGACCGGTTGTGTTCTTTGCACAGGCCATCACGCCTCCCAATGCGCTGACGCCCCCGAGTGCCCAGAGCTGCATGCCGACTGCCGCAGCAGTCGCCGCAGCCGCTGCCACGGCAAAGATTCAGGCGATGGATGCAGTTGCTAATAATGCCCTGGTGAGCCCTTGTTTCCGTCGCTGTCCCGCCCACTATGGCCTCTCGGTAGCTCAGAGTGCTGGAACTCGAGACATGACTCGGCAGGGGAGTACCTGGAGGAATGCAACTCTTCTCGCAGTATGTTTCTGGCTGCTTTGTGGCAGCCAGATTGGTGCACATTGCCTAGCTACAATGGCACTGGAACAGAATTCCCGGAGAAATGTTGAACAGACGCCTGTCCGTCCCATCCCTTCTTTCGTGGTTGAGGAGAGGTGGGACAGCCACGGAGTGGGTGGGACACTGCCGTACCGAGTGAAACTGGAGGATGTACCCACCCATTGATAGATTGGTTTAAATATTGCGGCCCGTGCGATATCTCATGCACTTTCGTTGGCATTACGTGCCCACCGCACTCTCCGTAATCTTCGCCCATCTGTGGGACAGGTCTCGTTGCATTATTATTCCACGATGCGTCGCGTGTGCGGGACACGACAAACAGTCCGAACCCCCTCTGTTGGCAGTCATTTTCTCATGAGCGTTTCTTTGTGCAGGCTTTGGGACTCTCGTCTCCTGGAGTGATCGGTTCTCCGGCCGCGGTCATTCCTCCTCCGGGGCTGGCCATCCCGACCATTGTTCCGCCGGGCCTGGTAGGGGCACCGGGCGTGCTTCCTCAGCCGGTGCTTGCTGCCAACGCGCCTGGGATAATCACAGGTGACGGCTCACTGGTTGCACCAATCGGTTCTTATCCTGTTCATTTATAATTGTTTATGCATAAGTCCCATATGTAAGTTTCTGCAAACAACAAAGCAGAAATTGGTCTTTTTTTCTTTTTTTTTTTGCAAAGAAAGCTATTTTTTGTTGCAAGATTGAGCACAGCGTTTTCTGCATTTTTTCTTTGTCAGCAGCGTCTTCCGATGCTTTCCATGGTCACAACAATATTGAAGGGTGGGCATCGACTCGCCTCTTGGCTCACGGTTGAGGTTTGCAGAGGTTAGCGATCCTTTGGTGTTTTTCGGGTGGGGACAGACTTGAATTTATTTTTCAACAAAGTTAAGCTTCTTCTGTTATCTTTCTTTTTCTTTTTCACAGACGTCCTCCGGCCTTGCAGTCCATAACTGCAATGTTTGGAGAGGCTATTTTGTGGATCGCGAGGTGCAGAGCTGGTGCTTTTGTAGGAGTGGGCTATTTTTTTGTGCTTTTTCAGAAATCGCCAATTTGCTCAAAAAAAAGGGGGTGGGCAATATTTCCCCAACCAGTAGAAAGCAATGTTTTCCCCAGAAGCAGCCTCCACAATTCCAGCTATATGAAACAAACGTGGCTGTGTTTCTGCGGTGGTTTTGTGCGGACTACGTCGAAGTGCGATAGCATTTTCTGTCTCCCATGAAGTGCTATATTCCACTAGCCAAACATTGCTCTCTCGCTCTCTTTTGGTATCTCTTTGGCACTTCGAGCATGGTTATTTATTTATTTATTTTAACCTTTGTGCACAGAGGCATTGCAGAGGGAAGTGAGAAATATTTTTTTAAAAATGCACGCCCCTGTTTGTTGTTGTTTCTGTTCAGCTACCTTTTAAGTAGGAGTAGTATTGCCTGCGTCACTGAGTGGGCAGTGCACGCAGCTCACACAAGGAAGGACCGGGTTCGAATCCTGCTAGCCCACTTCTTTTTACTATTCACTGCTTTTGTTCAACGATGTGCTCTTCTTCAGTTTGCTCTTTTTTTTGCTATGCATTTGAAGACAACTGGAGCCTTTGCAGTATGTGTCTGACTTCTATCATAAAGCGGAACTAACTGCGACAGATATCTACCGGGACAACTGTATATCACGAGATAAGTAGAGGACGAGAGAAGTCCAAATCGTTCCGTATTACAGATGAGAATCTGTAATACGAAATTGTTTTTTTTTTTTTTTAGTTTTAGGAAGTTACGATGTAACCAATGAAAGAATAGCCAAACTTGAACAAAACTTGCGTTGAGGATTCTGCACGTTGCTCACTATCTTTAATTTGTTTTCAAGGCAGTTTAGTTCATCCCAGGAGCCGGGCTACCACATGCATTGTTTTCAAGCATGTTTGAGTTTATTGACCCCATGATACACTCCCGCAGGTGTAACACCAATGCCACCTGTGGCGGCCATCATCCCCCCTCCGGGCATTGTGACCACTCTGCCCCTTGTGGCAAAACCCCCAACCGACCTCCTGAGCACCTCCTCACTCTCTACCTCGGTGGTTCGGCCCTCGGTTGAAACAGCCCTTGCTCAGGGGGGCTTGGGGCAAGCTGCTCTCAACCAAGCCGCCCTGAGCCAGGCTGCCCTGAGCCAAGCTGCCCTGAACCAAGCTGCTCTGAACCAAGCTGCCCTGAACCAAGCAGCCATGAACCAGGCAGGTCTGAATCAGACTGCCCTGAGTCAGGCGAGCCAGGCTCCAACCAACCAGGCAACGCTGAGCCAGGCTGCGACCAATCAGGCAACTGCAGGGCAGCAGACACCTCAGCAGCAGGAGGAAGACATGGCTAAAAAGTTGGAGGAGATGGAACCGCAGACTTTGCAGCAGCAGGAGAATATGATGATCAAGGGATCGAACGCGCGTCACATGTTGATGCGGAAGTTAATGCGACGCACGGAGGTAAGTCTTCGCTACGAGCGTTCTGGGTATTCAAAGTGATGGGGGGGGGGGGGGGGGGAAGGGGTGCATGCATCCTGTGCGAATTCCATGTTGTCTCGGTTATGCAAGAACCCAATTCCAAACAAACTAGTGCCACTAGGCATGCTTGAGTGTGCTACCGATAACCGAAAGGTTTTTCGATAACACTTCCTTTGGCCACAGTCGCAAAGCCTCTTCTAGTTCCAGGTGTTCTTTTAGTGTGAGTTTTCAAAAGTAGACATAATCTTCACTTTGTTGCTTACATAATCCGATAATCTGCTTTTTTTTTTTTCCACACCGTCTTGCACTTGTCTATACTCTATCAGCTTGATTATCGTGGCTTTCTTCAGCGTTGAAGCACTGTTATACTCCAACATAATGGCTGTGCATGTGAACGCATGGCACATTGGTGAAAACCGGACACTCTAGAGTCCGGCGTCCCGACGAAGCCAACTCGGCCAATGGCATTTGGCTCTTGCAGGCCGCGCCAGCGTGAAATGGTCCTGTAGCGATCTCGCGCCGAAAACGCCAGTCCAGTCTCCTATCATGCATTGCGCGCGTGCTTGTAGAACGGATACGGCACTTTGCAAAAATCAGTGCTTCGCCGAAAAAAAAGAATGCATGCGCTTGAGGTAGCGTTTTTTATGTGTGCCCCTATGGTGGAATGCTGCCGGAGAAGTTTAAGCAGGCTGATGTTCAGGCGGGACCGTTTTGTGACGTGCACGGCGTAACCGGCATAACACCACTGACTTCAGCCAGCTCTTGCTTGCGTGCTGGATACGTCGGAGTATAACAGCGCCTTTATTGTACAGTCGAATCAGCTTACAACGAATATGATGGCTTCATGAAAAGTGGTAGTTATTTTAGTAGTTAGTTGTACAGTCAAACCCTAATACAACAAACTCGAGTACAGCAAATTAACCCTTATATATCGAACACGCGAAAATGTTTTATCAGTATGCATGCAAAATATATCTCGCATAATGAACTACACCATGGATATATCGAATTTCCAGTGCCTATGACCACCAGCAAACACGCGAGCTCTGGCACTTACAGCATTCGGCTTCCTTGCAACGCAGACGGAGGTTCCTCCTCGCACGGCATGAAACCTCCACTTACCGTAGGATACCGCGCATCCGCCCATTCCACACTAAGCGCCCGTGCCCAAATTTGTAAGATCTGAGAAAATAAGCACTCTACATTTATATGTAAAATTGATGACCGGACAAGCGCCCATCCCCTATTTTTTCACGATTATCTCTAAATTTTGAGTGGGCGCCTGCCCGGTGTTTTACTGTAGTTATGCTTAGTCACGCCCTAGCGCTGTAGCCCTATCAGGTTTCTGATTCCGTAACAACCGCGGCGCTTTTCAGCCAGTCAACTCTGTTGTAACTGGTGGTTTTGGAGCAGACAAAATTTGGCCTCGCACGCAGTCAACACATTGCAGAGCTAGCCTCGGCTTCATAAACTTCGCTTTCCTAGGCCTCTTGCAACTTGCCATTTTGTTCTGCAATCTGGTGCACTTCACGGTTCAAGACGACGATGCAGTCGCACGCTTTTCAGCTCTTTGACAGAATGGACATCATTACTGGATAATGCGCCGAAACAACATTGACAAAACGAAGAAAGATCCAGACAGGACTTGGCGTTACTCTCAACTGAATGGTTTATTTAGGAAAATGTAGAAATAAAAATAAAAACCAACACGTGCTGGCAGAACCGTCGTAAGATAAGGTCTAAACACACTTCCTAGAAAACCAGCATCACTGGTTCTGCATATAGTGAAATTCTTTGTCGAACAATAACATTCGCCATGTAGGACGTGGTGAAAAATAATTCGACGTTGCCGCCGCCTTCAACATTTCTAGGAGTATGTTAAGCACCCTCAGCGTATAACAAACAAATTGTAAAAATTTGTTATAAGCGGGTTATGCTATAACAAATTATTGGGTATATCAAACAAAACCGGGCACTTTCAACAGTTTGTTATAAACGGGTTTGACTGTATCTGGACTTAACGTTAAGGGCACTGTTAACAAAACAAAAACAATTCCGGCAAAGGTGCCTGCAGTTTCGGATAAGGCTGAGATTTCGTTTGCATGTCAGAAGATCCAGCCGAAACTAATCCTCAGTCCTCCGCTGGGGCCTGCCAGATGCCCTCATTAGTTTGGCACGTAAAACCCTCAAATTTGACTTCAAAAAAGAAATAATTAATTAAAGACTTGAGCGCGTTGGTGATCTACATTGACTTAAAACGAAAGAAACACACAAGAGGACGAAACAGACGACACAGCTTTCGCGTCTGTTTCGTCCTCTTGTGTGTTTTTTTCGTTTTAAGTCAAAATAATTAATCTTGGTTTCTCAAGTTATTCAAAGGACATCTCATGCAGCCAATTGTCCGCTTTCGAAGGAAGGTCGAGAAGAAATTGGTCATTTGCTTTGTGCTTTTTGCATGAGAAGGGCTCACCCTGATCGTTGTCCAGCAATAGTTGTGAAATGGTGGTCCCTTTGAGTATGCTCGTGACAAGTAGACTTGTTTCTAGTCGTGCGTGGTGGTGCTCCGCAACATGGTGGGCGTGGAGGACCTGGACGACGAGCTGGAGTCGGAGGTGACGGACGAGTGTGGCCGCTTCGGCATGGTCAAGCGGGTCATCATCTACCAGGAGCGGCAGTCCGAGGAGGAGAACGCCGAGATCATTGTGAAGATCTTCGTCGAGTTCTCCAAAGCACAAGGTGGGCCTCCTTGTGTTCTCCAGCGCTGTGATCTGGAACGGGAGCAGATTTCTGAAATTCTTCTAAACATTTGTCCCACTACCTAAAATCCACTAATTAACTTTCGAAATATTCACCTTAGCTGGCACATTCCAATTCGATCTGTGTTGCCTGTCATCGAAATATGCTGTAGCTTCTGTTAAAATTCGGACGACTTCGTTTGGCTCTGCGCCGTTCTCTGGCAAATTGGAACCATGAGGAGACTAAGATACTGAAACCATATGCAAAAGGTAAGCGCAATCGGGCATGGCTGATTGCGTTTGTAACTTGCCCGCCACTTAATTCGGGGAGAAAAAAAAAAGCCTGTTCTTGTGCGTCACGCACGGCCAATCGTGCTTGTAATTTGCCCACCACCGTTTCTCGCTAGGTCGAAGTAAGCAAATTTTATATTTCAAGATCGAATTAACAAGATTTTTTTTTTATTGGCGACGAGATGTTTTGGTGGCGCCACCTCGCAGGCGCCCTCCTGTGACGGGGCTGGTAGGATGCGAGCAGACGACGCGCCATGTCAAAGCACGGAGTGGCTATGTTACTTCTCATCTATGCCAATTAAAAACTGTTTATTTATTAAGGAAACGTGTATGACATTTTTGTGAGGGATCTTTCTAATGAATAACAGCACCTCAAAGTTGCTTTTTATATATATATGAAAAAAAAAAAAAAAAAAAAAAACGCTAAAATGTTTAAAAACAAGCCTGGAGCTTTGCATTCCAGCTTGCATGGCGTGCCTCGGGGCTGTTCACAGCCTCTCTGATTCTTGTTTTTTCGGATCTGGGGAGGCTGCTATAGAAAAAAGTTTCGCATTCACCATAGTAAGTGACGTGCTGTCTTCTTAGCTGCAAATGTGCGCACACTTGTTTTAGCTACATTGAGCTTGCTGATGCCAACACTTTTATCTATTACGTGTTGCAAAGCGCCGCACACTTGTTTTAGCTACATTGAGCTTGCTGATGCCAACACTTTTATCTATTACGTGTTGCAAAGCGCCGCACACTTGTTTTAGCTACATTGAGCTTGCCAATACGACACTTCTATCCAAGTGTCACTCGACAGTTGCTGATGTGAGCAAATGCTTGTCAACAACTGACGTTTAGCTCCTTCCGCATCGAATGCGTGGCAGATAAGTTTGTAACATCGCGAATTCTGCTCGAAAAAAAGCATAAATTTTCATAAATTCCTAAATTGTCGGACATGGCCTGGCAATTCAAGCGATTGATTCATCTGTTCTATCCAGTTTCTACTAAGAATTGTTTCCAAATTTAAAATCTCTGGCTGAGAAGCGCTTCACACATTATGCACATTTGGGTCTGCAAAATAAACATACAAACGGTAGTAATTTATAGCAGGTCTATACCTCATTTTTTTAGACTCTGAAGTGCCACCTACTTACTAGATTTAAGACTTTGGTCGCGAGGGAGTCTCGCATGTTTTGCATAGACCGGGTGAATAAGCAGGGATTTAATTGGAACGACTCCAGAAGCCAGCCACCTATTTTTTCTGCCAGGGTTTTTGAGGAAATGTTTGTTCATTGGTTTACTAAATTGAAAAAGGTATCAACATGATGCTAATGAAAGGCCAAGGCTCACAGAACAGGTTACTACGGTGCGGTATGGAGGACGCGTTCAATGCGTCCTCCGTTTCCTTGTGAGCTCTAGCAAACCGCCTCAGCAGGTCAATAGCATAACTTCCAAGAATGTCCGGCACATTCTCTGACAACCAGTCATCGGCTCCGACTTTGTTAACACTGGCTGACTGCCCACTCAACACTTTTCTTACAATGCTATAGCGTTCTTGAAACCACGACCGCCAACTGCGGCTTGTCTTGAACTTGTCGTATCCAAGCAAACGCACGAAACCGCACACTTTCTGCTGCACCACGTCACCGGTGAGCGGAACGTTTTTGGCTCGCCTATCCATAAACCAGGTGAAGAGCTCTTCTTCCAATTTTTCGTGCGGGGTGGTCTTCATGTTTTTCTTCTTGGACGGATGCCCAGACGAAGTGGCACTCAACGTTGTGGCGCTTGTGCCGCTAATGGCGGCGTCCTTCGATTTCAAAATTGTTGAGAGCGTGCTGGCTGGGAAGCCGTGCTCTGCAACAACTTCACGTTTCTTCTGTCGGCTCGTGACAGCACGAATGATATCTGCTTTCTCTTCAAGGGTCAGCACTTTTCTTTTCTTTGTGGGGGGCTCCATCTCTAAGCAATGCAGAGTGTAGTGGAACAGATATCGTACGCAGAGAGAACCGGTCGCGGGAAGAGACGAGCAACGAAAGAAAACAACAGTCCTAACAAACAACGAAGAGACTGAGACTATCAGTGCCATCTGTCGCACGCGGCACAAAGCAACCGCCGCCGCTAGCGCCATCTAGTGTAGGCAAGTCGATTCAAAGCCATGCGGAGAATTCGTGTTCCGTGCAGTTTCATTTTGTAGGGTACCTCCGGTACCTCGATTCTACCACTGGCACTCGAACGACAAGCTTTAATCTATTCTGAGCGAAATAAATGTGGAATAACCTTCTTTGTGCATATATTTTTTTCGTAAATACTGTTAAATCGGGTTTGAGGGTTCATTTACTTTGTTATTTCGAGTTCATATAAGCATTAAGCCCTATGGGAAACCTCGGGGGAAACACGATTTATTCGTTAGATCGGGAAATTTGTAAGATCGGGGTTCGTTAAATAGAGGTTTGACTCTATACTATCGATAGTAGTATCGATAGTTTTTTTATAGTCCACTATCGATAGCACTACTCGATTGTTTTTTTCACTATCTATAGTTAAATTTGGCTTCCACTATTGATAGTATCGATAGGACTACTGATAGTTTTGCATCACTATATGTGAGTCATCGTCCTTTGCTGGTGCTCTCGATCTGCGCTCTCGAACATACACCGTGCTGCCAAAACTTAGCTTGGTACGTAATAAAAGAAATGTATATATATAAGAATACACACCTAGCAGCTCAATGCTGCAAGTTCTATAAAAAAAAAGAAAAAGAAGAAGAAATATCTTTGTTGACCTTTGAGTTGACAGTGCTGTGGGAGTTACGCGCTCGGCAGACCAATCAACTGCCTCCCTTTCATCACCTGACCCTGCTCCCTGCGCGTGTGTATGGGCGGAAGCGTAATCACGTGCTTAGAGATAGACATAGGGCTCGTCCGAAGAGCACATAGCTTCCACTGTACTGTCAGCTGAGGAATGAAAGGAGGATGGTCCTTTCCAAAAAGAAACTCGTGAACCCGTCACAGGATAGGTCGAAGAGTGATCCACGAATCCGAGTCAAGCGATAGCTACTGCCGCTTTCGGTGCTCATCTCCTGCTAATGTGACTTATCTCTGTTCAGGTTTGGGGGGTTAGAAGCCATCTATGTGCTTAGCATGCGAGAAGGACGTAAAGAAGTGAGAAGAAAATTGGAGGGGGAAACAGAGGAGACACGTCTTCTGCCAGGAAGAATTTCATTTTGCCCGTCGGGCTTTGAAGTTCAAAAGCTTATCCAGTATAAAAAAAATTGTAAAAAACTTATCTGAGCTTTTGTAGACTTCCCAATCTTCCCCATCCCCCTCGAGGCCCTTGACGCGGGCGGCAAGCGCCGCCACATTGAGAATAACAACGAAAAGAAAAACAGGAGACGGCCAGTGCCTTGTCACCAACACTTCCGGGCTCGGAGTTTTTACATTCCAAAGTCGGCAGCGTAATACATTTGCAGCAGAGTGTAAGATGGGCAGGCAGGGAAACGACCACCGAGACCTGCCGCAGCGGTGCCACCATATTGTGTCCTCCTGGCGGCTTCCGCTGCGCAGGCGCCTCCGCCTTGCGGTAGACGGCGCAGTGGCATACGAAAGGCGATGGACTCGGGTTTGTCTGGAACTCTGTGAGAGAAGGCACAGGGTCGGCGACATTCCTTAATTTAAAGTAGAATTTACTAAATCCTTGTGAAAAAAATACCACTCGATTAATTTATCAACACTTCTATTAACTTTGATGCATTTTCCAAACCGCATGAGCGACTGGCAATCTGAAGTCGTCTGCGAAATTCTGATGTGCTCTTTGCTTTTCGTTTTATTTGTTTCGTTCCTGAATGCATTTGGAGCAGACAAATTTGGAGGACGAAATTGGCATTTCTCACCGTGTTTTGGCGCCTGGGGACGGCCAAGATTCTTGAGGTATGGGCCGCTACTGTTGTGTTTTGAACTGCATTATGGCCCGAAGGAAGAAAAAGCAGTGATATTTAACGCGGGCGATGTTGAGTTCGGGTGACTGTCGTGCTGGGTGGGCACCGTGTGATTGCAGTGTAGTGCGACGGCGTACCGCTGGCTTCAAATCACGTCGATCTATACATTACCTTGCTTGCACGTGAACAGCGTAAACTTATAAGCTAGATCGCCGAACACATCTGCAGGCGGAGTGGAATCGACGCCGTCGATGCATTCACGACACGCCTCGGCTGACTTCCCAGCTTGCCCTCATTTTGTCACGCTGCGCGCTTCCTCAATTATTTTATCTTGTAATGTAAAATTTCGGGAAAAACAGAACTTATATATTAAATGTATTATTAGTTTGCTCAGTTAAACTTGCGCGGTTCATGCACATTTTTTTAAATAAATTACCAGTGAATTGCATTGCCTGCAAAAGTAATGAGGATATTTTGTTGTTTTTTTTTGTTGTTTTTTTATCTGCATGGCACCATCTATGTGGAGTGCCTCAAACTTCCCCGTGGCGGGGACACAATCAAGTCGCTCAGTCGGCGGTCGTTTCTTCACCTGCCTATTTTTACATATCTTACACCCTGATTTACAGTCATCTTGGAAAACATATTTCATGAATGTAATTAATAATTGCAGACATGCAACTGGCAACGTCTCTGAATTTGGAAAACTACCTACGCCTACTACATCACCCTAAAGGAGGAGCCTGGTTTGGGGGGTGGGAGACATGCAGTTTTTTGACCGGCTGTTTCCAGAACTGGCCAAATTTCTTTTATTTTGTAATGAGATTACATTACTACCATAATATCCTGAAGAAACGTCCACCTTTTTATGGGAGATTATTGGGGAAAAAAGGCGGGTGGGCTAATCTTCGAGAATCTTCGAAATTCGGCCACCTGCCTTTTTGAAAGAATGTTTTACTCTCGCGAAGTCCGTTGCTTGCAGACATGCGATGAATACCACCGCTCGGCGTACAGCGAGAATGCTTGTTCCGTGGAAGCATGTTTCCCAAACTGCGATGTTCCCTTCGTTAGGTCAGCCTTGCTGATCTGTAGATTCAAAACTAAATGAAGTAAAAATAAAGAAGCAACCAGAAATTAGAAAAACCAACCATGGCACCACGAGCAAGCGAGCAGGCAAAAGAAGCGATGAAGAGTGATGCTTTCTGAGCGATGCTTTCACGTTGGCAAATACTTTGGCATCGGGCCAAGTCACAAGAAGCAGGCTCTTGTGCAACTTTCTTATTTTGCGCATACATGCGTGCATCAGGTGGTGTCCCCAGTTCTTCAGAATTTCTATTCTTGAAGGGTAGGCGATATATTAAGATATTTTTTTAACTCATCCTGCATTCAATTAATCCTCTTTTGAACAGTACATCCTGACAAGTGAAGAGAATGTGGAGTCTGTTCGTAGTATCCGGGAGTACAACCCGCTCTAAGGTATGCAATTAAAAACGAGCGTGTTGGTTAATATATACAAAACTTGAAAGTATAAAACAGAGAGGACGAGGACGGGAACAGGACATCTTTCATAGTGAAAGATGTCCTGTTCCCGTCCTCGTCCCCTCTGTTTTATACTTTCAAGTTTTGTATGTCTAAGGTATAGCGCCCAGCTCTGCTAGAGCCTCTTAGAATCTATGGTTCTGTTACACAGTCAGAAATGCCTTGCTAGCTTTATTGTGTCAATCTTTGCATCCAGAATTCCTGACTACCAAAATATCCCGAGAGATAGCCCACCTAAAATCAAGAGCAAATTTGGGTGAAAGTATAGAGTGGGCTAACTTTCTGTCGACAATGTAGAAAATTTGAAAACAAAAATACTAGTTTTAGGTAATTTGTCCATTCCAAGCTTGTTATGGCGGCAAGGGGCAATTAAGCAAGAGGACAGTATTTCCAAGTTAGCAACGTTCGCTTACATGCCGCCATAGCTAACTAGCCGCATTTACGCCGAGGCCATCATTGATCCCAACACTACTATTACGAAAAGTGGGCTATCTTTCGGTGTTTAAAAAATACAGCAAATCAAGCTAAAAATAGGAGTGGCTATTTTTCGGAGGTGGGGCATTTCTCGGGATTTTACGGTAGTTTGCAACCTGTGTCCACAAAGGGACGAGCAGCTTGTTTCCTCTATACGACGTCTTTTCAAGAAGCCCTGGCACTGTCAGAACATGCAGGCTTAAGGTATACTGAAATTAAAATTTAAATATACCTTTCACATTCATAAATGAGTTAAACAGGATTAACGAAATCTGTTAATGGCAATCGGACGTTGGTATTTTAAACAAATGGCTGTATTTTTCGTTCTAAACGGCCAATTCCAGCGAGTGTTGAAAGAGCAGCACATTGGAATGTGCGATGCGTCTAGAGAGGTCTGGAGCCTCCAGTGCATTTGAGGTGTCGTGTTCAACTTCACAGGCACGGCTACAGGGTGGCTGGCGTGGTCGTGAGCTTTGCCACTTGGTGGAGTCAACTTGTTACAACCTGGCCATTTGAGATGCTTGCTCTTCGCTCCCAACAGGAGTTAAATAGGCGTGGAGGAAAATCCGGTTCAGCCAAGTTCAGCAGTGCTCATGCACACGCAGCGTGCCGCCGTAATTCTGCGGAGCGGTGCTGCTTTTATGGGTAGTTTGACGTAACATTTTGTTTATTTGATTTAAATAATGTTTTGGTGTGTTTTCAAGCAAAAATTGACGTCTCTGTGGTGTGGCCAGTACGTGGTTGACATTTAGACAGTGAAATAGGTGCTAGAATTTCGTTGCAGTGCCCCTTTGAGATAAAGTAGCATCTGCAGAAGGGTGGTTTTATCTCTGGCCTCTACAAGACACAAGACCGATGCCGCAAGCATTCTCAACAGAGCCTTACCACGAGCCCCCTTATTGTAATGGTCTCAGGAGCAAAAGAAAGATTGAGTTCTTTCCTTTTGTTTCAATTTCCTACTTTTTGTTTTTAAAACTACAGTATTATTTTACGTTCGAGGGCTCGCGCTTAAGCTTTTGTATGCTTCCATTCAAAAGGTTTGTGGTCTTCAAGATGTATCCCTCCACTAATCACTTAATGCATTTTTTTTTCTCTCTTCGTTCAGAACTTTTTTTTTTTTTTTAAGTTGCTTTTCAATTTTTTGGGTGCACGAATAGTGCCTAAAGCTGAAAAAATAATTAAGAAATTTAATTAAAATTACTTCTTCAGAGTAGTTGAGAGGACGAGGATTTCAACTACCACGAGGACTCTGAGGAAGTCAGCGAGGACGAGTAGTCACTCTCCCACATGGTGACAGATAGGTGATTGGGGCTAGAACTGTACGAACCAGCCGACAGATCAACCGTCTGCCCGACAAAATCTAAAGAGGGTCGGGGTCGCCAAGAAATGCATTGCATTTAATAATGATTGGCCAACTTGGAGGTATGCGCTATTAGGTGTTTTATTAACAGCATGCTTACAGTTTGCTTCACTTTTTGTGCAGTTAGCTGAGCTCTTCTGCTTTTCTTTGAAAAAAATAATCGGCGGCACAACCCCTGGTATCAACCGAATATTCTTGGTAGGAAGTCCCAGACTCCCGAGGACAGTGGGTCGTCTTTCATAGTCTTCATCGCGAAAATGTTCACCGTACAGGCGATCGGTTTTCACTGGCACCCGATCGATGGCGGACGCACGAGATGGATCCACACGCTTCGGAATTCCTCGTTGTTCAGAAACCCATGGGTTGGCATCTCGCAGTTCAGCACACCGTTGCCGCAGCCCTCTGCTGCGCAATAGCACGGCATCCTGCATGCAAACCTAATGAATAAATGCAGAAACAACTCGGCGGTACCAAAACAATTGTGCGCCGCGCGAAGCAGCGCAATTGCATCATTGCGTTCACGGCTAGGGTATCTATATGGGTATGGTGTACTGCCGAGGGTGGCACCACTGCGGGAGGAACAACACGTCACGATCCCCCAACAAAGCTTCGGCCCCCCAATTACCAGGTGCAAGTGGGAAATCATTTTACGTATTTGTTTTTAAAATTACTTTTCTCACAATTACAAACGAGAGATTGATGTTGCTCAGGGGCTGATGCAGCGTGGTATATACCTAAGCAATAAAATGAGCCCTTAAATTTTTGTTTCTGTGCCCCTTTAAGCCTACTTTTTTTTTTTTTTTTTTGTTATATCCCATGCTTTTAAAGTGTTTGAGACCGTAAAAAAGTTGGGTCACTTACACAACCCGTTAGGTGAAACACTGCAACAGCTGAGGTATGATGTCGGAGTCGCATAAGGTGTCATTTCGGAGCAGATGGACCAAATGAACGGTAAATATTAAACTGAGTAGCACACCGGACGAAAATTCCATTGCGCTTTGGAACCAATGAGGGTGTATTAAGTGGAGTGCATTTCGTGAACCTCTTAACAAGTTTATTGGACACAAACTAGGACTGCTTTGTGGTAATTGAAGAACAGTTTGAAAATCATACACCCAATTTCCAAATACAGGGAACGACGAAACTGTGTGTGCATCTATAAACCATTCCCTGTCGTTGGTGCGGCTGCCTAAACGTCTTATGCTATGTTATTGGACACAAACTAACACCGCCTTGTAGTCACTGAAGAACACTTCCAAAATCGTGCACTCAATTCTCAATCACCGTAGCTCCACCTGATTTCACACCCGTGGTTTCACTGGCTTAACACCCACCTAGCTTTATTGGTTTTATCGTCCGAGAACCTTTCTAAAGTAATTAGCGAAAACACTTTCTTTTGATTGTTTTCGTTATCGGCGTCATGTTTCTTTCTTTGTGCCATCATGGTGTCACGTAACGTCTGAATATCACGTGACATCACGCAACTCAAGGTGTCATCTGATGTCTTAAGTCGCTTGGCGTCACTGTGCAATGTGCCTTGACATGAGAGTGTCGCGTCATGGTGTCAGCTGACGCCAGGTAACAGGTGACGTGACGCGTGGCGTGACGTGAGAGTCGTGTCGATCGGCATGACATCAGTGTGGAATCTTTGGACGGAGTTCCGAAAATGGTCCACATCATGGTGCAAAACTTGCGTAGTGTCCCACTAACTGCTATCGCATTAAAAAAAGCATTTATGTTGGGGTTGTGAGTGGCCCTCTAATGCGCCGCGCTGGAATGTGTTTGCCCATGCGGCACACCCTGTGGGACCAGTATGGGCGTTGGGTGGGTCCCGTGGGCTTCCCAAGTTGCCCACCGCATGCTACTTGGGATGGCTAGTGCCTGAGGTCTAACAAAGCATCTCACCTGTACTTGCAGAATCGGCCGGCGCAAGGGACGCTCTGAATGGACGCTTTTTTGGCGGGAGGCTCGTCAAGGCCGAGCTTTACGACCAGACACTGTACGAAGCAAACGACCTGTCTGGATAATTGCTGTAGAGAGTGTACATATTCTTGTATATATGCATTTTCAAATAAATAAGGAGACAAGTGACAAGTGTCACTCAAATCTGCCATGTTCAATGCCTTCCTTTTTTTCTTTTTTTTCTAGGTCTTCTAGCCTGCAGGTTTTGGAATAATTATTTAGTAAAGTATGAGCACAAAAAAGATAGGAACACGAAGTAAGCAGGATGAGCACTACCTTTCAATGATTTTTACGTGGGAAAAAACAAAGCATAGTATATGTATATGCAAAGCGGCAACGCATGCAGCTATCAATTGTTGGTATCCAATCATGCAAAAACAAATTCATTTCCGTAAAGCACAATTGACGTGTTACTGTTCACGAGCAACGGTTTCACTGCTTCCCCCCAGAATCCCTATCTGCTGAAGTCGCGGAACACAGCCACAGGTGTTGCTATGAATTGGCTAAAGCGAGGCATATTTATGTTTTGCCGATAGTGCGTGCTCCCATGCTCAATCACTAATGCAGCGTCCCTTCTGGCCGATGTAGACCTTTCCACAACTCGGTGTAATTTCATACACTACACCCACTGTGCACCACCGAGTTGTGGAAAGGTCTACAACGGCCAGTTCCCGATCGGCGGTTTTCGGGCGGAAAGAAACCGAATTTCGAGCCGAAAATTCTGTTCTGGGTAGTTGGGCTCTCATATGTCACATACAACTAAAAACACCGGCGAGCATAAATACTCTGTCAGTGTCCCTTTAACCTGTCACCGACTACGGGAATAATAATTGTATTTCAGTTCAGTTGTTACTTAGAGGCATCATGCAACACAAAAATTGAAAAAAAAAAATGGATTATCAGACAAACAGAAGTAATATCGGAAGTAAATAAAATCAGTATGGAATTACCAAATTAACAGTTTAATTATGTTGACAACACACAAAGACACGAAAATCCCAAGTAGACAAAAGCAAAGCAAATTTTGTTGAGTAAACCTTACGTCCGGACGCAGCGGACGCTACGAGCTATCCCAGCCAATCCCGCTCTGTGGACGTAGCCCGTGATACGCTTTCCGCGCGTCGCTGTGCCCCCTCTCTACAGGGTCAAGTGACACTCACGCGGCCTTGGATTGGTTTTGATGGCTCGTAGCATCCGCTGCGCTCGGACGTAAGCCATCTCTACCAGCGGCGTAGACTTGCCAATTTCCCGGGAGGGGGGGGGGGGGGGCAGGGCAGCATGCTGAGAACTTCTCCGGTGGGGGGGAGTTACCTTTTCGCCAAAGCTGGAGATTGAAGCTAACGAAAGCACGCTCGGATTCCATTTCCCGTGTATTTTGCATGTATTTTGTCAGTGAGCGTTATTTTGTTTACATGCCACTACTAGAAGCTCGTTGCATGGCACGTAAGCAGCGTCTCGGTAAGGATCATGGCCCGGGCCCAAGAGAAGCCCCCCCCCCCCCCCCCCCCCCCGGATCTTACCAGGGGAAGCACGAGCCCCGATGCCCCCCCTCCCCGAATTGGGGGGGGGGGGGGGGGGGGGGGGGTCGAGGAAATTTATTAACAAACGCACCACAAACCCAGGCTCTGTTAACACATTTAATATCCTCTGCTGTTTGTAGACCTGCTAATTGTATTGCGCCCATTAAGCGCAATTAATTTTCACTCCCAGAGATATATCTTTTATGCCAAATGTGTTATTAATGTGTCGAAGTTGAAAATATAAAAATCGACTGTAGCAGAACTCGATGCATCAAATGGAAATAAGAAATAGTAAATCTTTTTTTGGGTTATTGCTTCCTGTCAACGCTTACTTTTATCAACATGGTCCTACACAAATGTTTAACATCATATTCATTTTCGACCGTTGCGAGTTGTAGGCTCTTTGCCTTGTGTGGCTGCCTTCACTAAAACAAAAATCCAAGCAACCCTTTCGTGTTGACACAGTGATTTCAAAATAATTACAATATTTTATATTGAAACTTTTGGTGAGCAATTCTTCTTAAAATATTTTGCCGAGGGGAGAGGCACAACGGAGCATGCGCGTCATCTGCAAGAACGACGGTTGTTTCCCACAATGCTTGGATAGAAAACGGTGCACCATTGCGATTCACATGATCACCAGCGACATCCGCGCTTCCCCGTCCCCCGTTGTTCGGCAGCGCCATGAGTTGCAGAGCAAAATTTACTACAGCATGAAATGCGGGACATTTTGAAGATTTGAGAATTTCTTGCGGGACGCGGGACACGAGCCCTCAATGCGGGACAGTCCCGCGAGTCACGGGACAGGTGGTCACCCTATCCCCGAAGTCTACGCCTATGATCTCTTCTGTCAATGAGCCAAGGACGGTTAACAGCCAAAGCGTATGCCAACCTGTGCAAGAGGAGGGAAAGGGGGAATGGGAGAGAAAGGCTGAAATTCACCCGTTCCTCCTTTCCCTCCTTTTGAACAGGTCGGGATACAGATTCCCCTGCAGCTTTGGCTGTATGCACGGTTTTAGTGACTTAGTATTTTGCTTTCCTATCACATGTTCCCCCCCCCCCCTTCCTTTCTCCACGGCGCAGATCCAAAAGGGGGGGCATTCTAGACCACTGGCTTTTCATGTTGTTTTGAGGGCAGCGCGCACTGCAACCCGTTCACCCTGCCGGACCAATCAACCGCCTCCCTTTCATCACCAACCCATCTCTGCGCGTGGGTATGGGCGGGAGCACGATCATGTGACCAAACCCTGTATGGCAGGTCCAATGAGTTCCGACTGGTGTGTTTACCGCGTCCAAAAAAAGAGGTCCCTCGATTTCCGCCCGATGACGTCGTAGAAGTGTCATGCTGTCGCCGATCCTGGTGGTGTCCCAGCAGCGGTGCTGGATGTGGCCTTTTAAAACTTGTTGGCCTAGTTGGTTCATGATGCAGTGTAGAGGTTTTTTGCGCGACACAAGGGACAATCACAAGCGAGTAGACACGGACAAGCGCAAACTTTCAACTAGTTTATTCGTGCTCGATCGACCACGAACGAGCATGCGCAGCACGCTACACAGAAGAAACAGAAAAAAACAGAAAAGTCACCTATCAAGACACATTCCACGATAGTCATTATCAAACCAGCAACCCGGATAAAAACTGCACTTTCACGCTTTTGCGCTTGTCTGTGTCTACTCGCTTGTGATTGTCCCTTGTGTCGCGCAAAAAACGTCTAGATTGGATGTGGCCTGTTCTGCTGCAGGGCGCTCTCCAGTGTGACGCTCGTGCTTTTCGCCAGCATTTCTGCGCCCAACCGCCAGGATCGCGACATGCAACAGCATGACACTCCGGTTTGTGTGAGGTCATTTGTTGCCACTTTGGGACCACTTTTGATGTATGGGCGGCATAGGACGCTAAATGCACCAGTCGGAGACGCGCTCCAGGCACCATACTCGTAGCTTCCACCGCACTGTCGGCTTATGGGTGAGCGGAAGCTGATCGAGCCAGCTGGGGACGGGGGCGATCGTGTCGATGCTTTCACTGACTGCGGGCGAAGATGGAACAAAGTGCAGGCATCTTGAAAGCGTGTCTCTTCGTCTGAACGGAGCAGCGGGTGCCACTGCGGAGGAAAGCCTGTGGTGCTCGCCCACTCGAACGCCCTCTCCTTCCTATCTACGGTTTCTGAACCAACTATCAGACGGCTCTCGCGGGGACCCAACTTTCAAATCGACTAGCTGAAGCTTCCCCCCCCTGACCCATCCTGTCTTTCCCTGCTACCCGAATTCCGTCGCTACAAAAAGAAAAAAAAAACATTTGCTCCGATTCCTGTATTTTATTAAATTGGAAAGACCACCCTTCGTTGCTAACCAGAGAGGCACCTGGCATCAGCTTGCTTCTGCATATGTTGCGCTTTGTGGTTTCTCCAGTTGGGTTGATAAGATGGAAAAAAGCAAATGTGAGCAGCAAAAATAAACTTGGCGAACTGTGGAGGCTGCGACCCCCGCGACCCAATAAAACCGTCGGGGTAAGGCACGTGACCATTCCATGGTCAACACGGACGCTCCCGTCACGTTATGTCACGTGCCTCGCTCCGGCGCTCTTATTGGGTCGCGGGAGCCGTAGCATCTACAGTTCGCCAACTTATCGAGCCATTTGAAATTCTGCCTGCAGTAGTGGCCTGTCCAGCAATTTTTTGACACATTATTGTTCTTCTACTTGGAGTTTTCAAGATATGAGGAGACGGTTTTGGAGAGCTCCGAGTTTGAAGAAAGACTCTGCACCGCAGCAGAACGCTTCAGAGAACATCGAAAACGCTGGGTGCAAGGTATGACTGATATTCTTTTTCAACCTCACAAATAAAAAATAAAAAAAAAAGATTTTTGGTCGCTTTTTTTTGTTGTTAAAAATGGGGAAAAACAACAAATTGGGTTCAATTGACTGCTTTACGGGGGAACCGTTCTAATAATCACATTTATTTCGAGGAATTTTTTATACACACGATTATTATTTTTTTTCAAATAAAGCTAGATATACGCTTAGTTGACATCGAGTCATCCAGTCTAATTACCCAAACACTGCTCTAAATTATGAGCCGTTTCAGGTATAGTTATTTTGCAGTAAACGGTGGATTAGGAAGGACAAAACAATTTTATTCGGAAAAATGCCTCGATTCATTAGAAACTAGAAATTGTTCGCGCTAACATGACATTGTGTTGTTTAAATATTTAAATACACGCAATCCCTCTCGTGAAAAAAAAAAGAGCGCTGTTTAAATACGTTATTCACAGGAGGCTGGATAAAATCACCTTTTCTACCAAAAAAAAAATGTACAAAGGAAAAAGAAGCATAGTCAAGTGGCCTACTAATCCTCGAAATCCCGTCTTCAGTGGGTTCGAAAAAGAAAAAAAGAAGACCGTTGCTTAGAGCTGAATAACTCCTGCACGCCCCCCCCCCCCCCCCCCCCCCCCAAAAATAATAATAAAATAAAATAAATAAGTAAATAAAAAAATTGTAATGGGTAATTTTGTAATCGAGTTCAGGCAAAAAAGCAATTCAATTACAAAGATCGAAATTTCGGTTCAGCATCCCTTTAAAGGGATATTAAAGGGATACTGAACCGAAATTTCGAGCTCACTAAACGAGGCCGG